TATATATATATAAACAAGAATGATAATGTCCATAAAAAAAAAATTGTTTCGACCAAGTCTTATGCAGCAGGCGAGCGCTATAGTCATTGTTTGGCGTATTGAATATGTTAATGTTATGTAACGAAATTCGACGGCTTTCAACGGATAAAGGCAACATACTTGCTTATTACGACGACACCTTCAGTTAAAGTAGAAGCAGCATTTATAAAAAGACTTTCCGAGCAGTAAATAAGCGCGCAAACGTAAGAATGTATCTGTGCAAGCAACTTTGGACTGCTGCTAAAGTCCTGATTAGAATTAGAGTTAGAGGAGGTAAATCAAGTTCAAGCGGTCGAGATTTTGCTGAAAAGATAGTGCGAAAAGTCGAGCCGTGCCGAAGAGTAATAACAGCCCGAGGAAATCGAAGAGCAGGTTTGCCTGGCGTTGAGCAACGCGTCTCAGAGAAAACCGGAATATCCCTGGCGCTGCATCTTTCTTCGGCCTTCCAGCCGACTTTCCCATTCATCCTCGGCCAGAGACTCTGATGCAACGTGTGGCGCTCGTAATCTATTGACATTACGCGAAATGTACCTCAATTTCTCCCAAGCCATCCGCAGCTCAAGTTCAATAGCTGACTTCGACGCTCACTGGAATTTGGATTGCCATTCTTGTTAAATACTCGTTGCATTCTTTAATGGCTACTCACGGCGCTGTTCACCTTACTATTATCGACTCTTCACCAGCAACGCTCTTCTTTCTCGCTTCTCATTCAAAGTCTTCAAAGCAAGAGTGCCCCATTATAACGAAGGAGTACGTAGCGACGTCCACGCCCTCCCCTCTGTCCCATCGACATCCGCGCTTACCACTAACAGCGCACGGAATATTTAAAAAGCTCTCGAGACGACAATTGATTAATCTCGCTAATGTGAATTTGCGTAAAGAGGCCAGCCGAAGCATCAGCTCCGACGCGGTCATTAATCTACGTGGCACAGCGGCTATTTAGTAACGAGCAGTGAATTTACATTTACGGCGTGCGCATGCGGGTGTTAACAGGATTATACAAACGCCGTTGCCAAAGAAGAGTTTCGAACGGCTCTCGGCGATTAGATAATCGGGTGTCGCGCGCGCGAGTAAGTGAGATGATTGGAGAAAATACGCCTCGTCGTCGGCATCGGGATCCCCCGTATAAATTATGTTGCGCTTGTTTTCAGAGTACGGCGACCGTCGAGCCAACGAATTTACCATCCTGGCACATACCAAGGCCATCCCTAGTTGGTAGGAGCGAAAGGAACAGCGAGAGCGGCACGTGGAAGCATCACTCGGATTCGCCATCTAGAGGCTCGACGTCGTCCCAGGGCTCGACCGCCAGCACGCACGTAAGCATACGCGTTTGGTTGTCGACGAGAGGAGCGAGAGTCGCCGCTTGTTGCCTCAACGCTTCCACCTTTCCCCTGGTTTTTGCAGAGCGCGGCCTCCGGCACGTTACTCCTCACCGCAGCCAACCTGGCGAATTTGGCGGCGATCGAGCCACCGAGGGTCACGGCGCCCAAGCAGCTCGACACGGCCTCGATGGCCAGCAGCACGCACTTCACGGTCGTAAACGGGCTCAGCAGACCGAGCACCGCTTACAAGAAGTCCTGGTGCGCCAGGAACCAACTCACCGTCCTCGTATGCACAATGAGCTTCCTCTTCATGCTTGGACTGCTCGCCGGGGTCCTCTATATGGAGAGTCAGTATGAGTGGCGCACGCGAAGCTCCGCTAATCGCACTTTTCTCTATCTTATTATCTATCTTTATGATGATGATGATGATGATGATGATGATGATGATGATGATGATGATGATGATGATGCCGATGATTGTCCATTTACATTTGTCTGTCGCTCCCTTAATCCGATACGTTGATTTGTGTTTTGCAGTGAGAGCTCGAGGCAGATACAACTAGGTTTGCTAGGAGCCGCGGACACGAACTTTCGACGACTTTCAAATTATGCCGAAACAGCGGGGGAGGTAGCCTGGAAGGGAACTTTGTCTTTTTGGAAGGATACTCGCTAGACTGCTGAATCATCATCTGATTGTCAAGCGAATACGCGAAAGCAGCACTTGACCCTCAACTTTAGCCTTTTGTTTTTGTTTTTTTTTTTTTTTTTTTTATTTTTATCAATCGAATTCGACATAATTTAAGTAACGTTTAGATATTCCAATTTACTTGTGTTAGATTTTTAGATGTATTGCACAACAATTACTGTGCGGTACGTGAATTGAGTAATTACGTTTATGTAATGAGCGCCATTTAGGCGCTTCCTAGGCATTGTAATTTATATGAAATTCAAATTGACTAAATGCAATCATTTATCGCTACTCTATCATCAATATATTTACTGGTAACTCTATGTAATCAACGTTGGAAATTCATATTAATTGTTTTCTACACTGTTATTGGAAATTACAATGATTTCGCGAGTTACTTTTAAATGACGTTGGGACGCTAACAATGATGAAGATATAGTACACACAGATATACGTGCTATATATAATTTTGTTAGCGGCAATGCATCATACACATACTCACACATAATCGATGATTTGCCTCGTGTTTTTTGTACTGTTTTAGGTCATATTATGTTTTTAAAAATTATAATGTAAATTAATTTAATTTGTATCGCGAATTCACGAATTCACATGCGGGTCTTCATCGAGAGATTGAAGGGCGTAACGAGACGACAAATGAGAATCGTTCTAAAACTTTGTGTCTGTGATATTACTTGTGTATTAATTAATAGTCAAGCCATCAAGAAACTTTCACGTTATTGAAGTTTGTGTTATATCTACATTTTATTCTTACCCATCCTTCGCAATAAGAAACCAGCCTCGTGAAGCTAGCGACTTCGATTATTATTCACGCACGAAATTTACTCTCTCGGTATTAGAATTTTCTAAAAACGAAACTAAGAAACGTTCATTGTTCGAGGGACGGGGGACGGGAGAGTGCGCTCATTTTTCGCGATACGCATCGCCATTCCCCGTTCAAGTGCCGCGGACAATCGCAAGTACAGAATAAAACAACAAAAAATAACAGAAAAAAGAAACAAAGAATAAAAAGCAATCATCTCTCGCGACCTCTCCCCACTCCTTAATCTTAATCTAGGGGATGTCAGCTGGAGTCGCTCAGGTGCCGCTAGTCTATCGATACGTAAGACAAGTGTCGACGAGACGCTGTTTCTTGATTTTCACTTTTCATGCACACGCAGACTTAGATACAATATCAATATTTCTTTTCCTATTCTTTTAACGAGCTAATAGCATTAAAGCTCCACTAACATGTACATTTATTCAAGAATTGTTTATTCGTCTCGTTCTATCTCGAGTTCCTATGTTAAGCGCGCGTATCAAGTGATAAATCTTCGTGTACCTTCGCGCACGTACGCAAAGTACTTTAGTCGCGTTTGGTATTCAAAATTAACGCATAAACACAGAAACAATAATACTACCACTTTCAATAATTAAACTGTTACGAATATACCATAAGGAAAAGTAATATTTGTTTTTCTCTACTAATGTCTGCAGTATCATGAAATTATACATGCACGAGTGCATATGTGTAACGGCAAAACACCAAATCTCGATGCCGAATGCAGAGATCCATGCGTTAAGCTGCTTACATTATCCACAGTCATTCACATCATTTATAATCAAAATTTGTATATACTAATAATAATAATTTCTAATCCCTTAATGACATTCAATGAAATGTGTATTATATACGGAAATGAATTTGATGGTACACATGGGAAAAGTTATTCAAATCATCAGTATTCTCCTTTTTTTTTTCTTTTTTTTCTTTTTATTATTATTATTATTATTATTATTTCATTCTTTTTGCCATTACAGATTTACTTAGCCGATAAGTAATATTAAACTATACTCAACAATACCATATCGCTACATAATTAAAATAATTAAATAGCATACATTCTTTTTTCATGAATAAATAAAAGATAAATAATTACGAAAAACTGTATGATTCATTGGTAATTTTATAAAATGAGAATGGACGATAAAGCAAATGAGTAAAAGAAAAGTAGGGAAGATAAAAGGAGACAAAATTTAAGTACTTAAATTATATAAACCAACTCGATATTTGAAATTCAATCGTCGTAATTATATGTATTTTACAACCTTAAAATATGCAGCAGTTGTTATGAAATTAATTATTGCGCTACCAAATGTTCATTATAAATACTTAAAATTGTAATTGGATCTACGATTGCTATTATGTTACAGGCAATCTAACAATCAAAATATTGATTAGAACTAAAAACGATTGGAATTTTTATAATAACCTACAAATCCACTCTAATATTACACATTTATATTGGTTAAATAATTACGTATCATTTGAATTCCAGTCATTGTGAACACATCACTCACTTTAGTTTATAATTTATTGTATATATTAATTTGTAAAAGAATTCATGTTAGTAATAAATAAAGTAAAAGTAAAATTACTCTGACTAAATAGCTTTGTGTAATTAGAAACAATTTTCTAATAGAGAAAACGTCGGCTTTTTTTATTATTATTATTATATAATAATTATATAATAATAAAAATTATAAATAAATTTTGTAAAGTACATAATAATGGTACATGTTTGTTTTTATAGAATTATATATATATAATTTTATATAATTAATATCGTCACATTTTCGATAATTGTTTTGGTTTACAGCTCAATCGTTCTAAATTGTTACGATATTGAGGGTCTCACGTTCATATACATTATTTATGTTAGTTCATTCAGAAAATAAAATATTTCAAACATTATTATTTTAGCTTAAGACAATATATTTTTTTATTATTATACTTATATGCTTGAAATTATCAAAAGAAAAATTAATCGATCTAAATTTAAATATTAACAAAAAATATATGTTCACTAATTTATATATATTTATATATATAACATTTTGTTATATATTCATAACAGAATGTTGAAATGTCAATTGACACTTACTTAAATAACATTGGTCATTTTGGTTGAACTATGTATGACTAATTAAAATATTTCAATTGTATAAAACAATAACTGTTGTACTGCAATAATATTTATATTTGTTTGAATAACGAATACATACTAAACATTTCTTCATACATATTTGTACGAGCATTATTCATACGAGCGATCGACTAAAATAATATACTCACAGTTAATATTTTACCTATATTTTCCAAAACAGCGTAAAATAGCGTAGTTATCTAATTAAAAGAAATATTTTTCGTATTCGGGGAACAGTTTGATTGTACAGGGATGAAAGATTTTCAGTTAACTATCTATCTTGGGCTTGTATTTGAATTTCGTAATAATGAATTTATGTTACATCACTGGCCTTTGAATATATCCTTCGGATTTCACTAAAATATACCAAAACTGTACCCGTAAAAATTTTGCCTGAATCTTAAACAATAGACGAGCAATAGAATAGATAGGTAAGACAGTATAAGTAACATATACGTTTTGTGAATAAATTCTTCATTTAAACATTTTAAATGAAATATTTGCCTGGTTACCAGTATATGCTTGTATAGTTATATAACAAGCGGTAATGTATTATCGGTCATCAACATGCCGGTGTCATTTGTGTTCATCCGCCTATACCCGCTAAATAATTTATAAGCAGTTCTAATCTATTCTGCGGACCTCTAAACTCCCTACATTCTTCATATGGGCTAAATTTATATAAAATGGCCATAAATTATTTCTATTTTAAATCGCATTGGGACAACTATAGTCCAAAAAAAAAAAAAAAAAAACTCTCATTTACAAATTAATAATATATATATATATATATATATATATATATATATATATTCAATGTCAAATTAAATTAAAATTCGGTCTGATAGTACTATATTTTTTATCATACACGTATATATTTTAAAATAATTATTACATTTATAAATGTATAAATGTATAAATTTATATATAGTTTAAATAATTTTGAAAAATATTTTTTAAATTTAATGGTCAATAAGCTCTTTATTTATCTTTAAAAAGGAAATAAAATAATATCAAAATAATTGTTTTATTTGAAATAAAAATAATTATAATTTAATGTCCAATGAATAATTAATCTACTTTCTTTAATGCAGAAAATTACAGATTGGTTTAAATAAATGAATTTTCATTCAATATTATTCTACTTAAATTCAATTTCATTATTTTCTCTAATTGTTTATTTAGCTATGTAAGAAATAAATATGAAAATAATTTTATAATTCTGATATTTTGTGTTAATATAAATTTCATTTTATTCTTTCCAAACTTAACGAATATTATGATGAATGATAATTTTTGTTTTTAAATACTTAAAGTATATCTACTTTAATAAAACGAATTATTTAAATATGCTAAATATATAAAACTTTTTTCTCACAAATTTATTTAATTTTATGTGTCTATTAAAAGTGGATTGCTTTAATTTATTTAATTTTGTTTAATATGACGCATTATTTATAATGTAAGTAAGAATATTTAAAAATGTATAAAAAAATGTTGATACTTTATAATTTAAGTATTTGTCAAATTTCGGATCATTAGAAATAATAATTAATATTCAAAATGTAAAAAAGGAAAAAAAGATAATTTGAATGATATTAATAAATATTAAAAATATTATATCATAAAAATATAATTTTATCACACTATTAAGACAAGAACATCTTAATGGAATTTTTCAATTAACTCGCTCAATATTTTGTAATAAACATTTACAATTTAACTTGTATAAAGATAAAATAACAAAGCACAAATAAGAAATAAATAAAAACATTATTCTGTCAATAGTGTAAATTCTAAAATATTTAATTATAAAATGAATATTTGACAAATATCTTTAATTAGAGCTAAAAATTAAAACTTTCATAAAGAATATATTTATAATACAAAACTTTTATTTAAAAAAAAAAATGTTTTAATAAAACATTTCATTACAGATCACGATATTCAGAATAATTGTAAATCACTGTTTAAACCTAATGTAATTTGTATTGAAATTAAAATAGAGCAAGTTATTGACAAAATATAGCTACGTTTAATTAATAAATAAATTATTAATCTTACCTCAACTTCTTGAAGAGTCTGTGTCCATCTATAATTTTGTAAATCTGCACCATTTCCACTATTAGGTTTTAGTTTATTTTTTTCTTGTTCCTCATCATCATATTCCATTTGAACATTATCTTGTTTACTGTCATTATTAACAGGTTCGGATGTATTTTCTGTCGATTTCTGATTGTTTTTTAATTAAAAGTGATGTTCATTTAACAAAATGTAATAAATAGTTAAATTTCATAACCGATATACATACTTTCCTGTCTAACTCCTTCTGGAGTTTGTCAGCCTCTTCATCCGTTAACTCAACAATTTGTGAATCACTATTTAAAATAGCATCTGCGTTTTGCTCTTCTTTTTTCTTTTGTTCTAATTTTTCTTTTCTTTTTAACTCCTGTTCCGCACGTCTTGCTTTATCTGTGGTGGCTTTACTTATGGCTGTGGCTTCGTATTTCTTAAATAAGGTCTTAACAAGCTAGAAAAAAACATTATCCATCTCTTTTAAATTTGATATTATAAATGAATTTGTATACAATGGTGTATTACAAGATCTTACTTTCTCTGCAACACCTTCTCCTGCTCCAGTATAAAAGTCTGTTTTTCTTGCCAGAAAATTGAATATTGTATCTAAGAACTGGAAAGAGTCGTTTCATGAATAAGATACTCTAGAAAAGTTGATAAAATAACCCCTAAAAGTGTAACCCGGCTAGCATTAACTTTACTTACATCTTCAACTCCACCTTCGTGTTGTTGCGCCATAGACAACAACACAACATCAAATTTCTCGAGGTCTTTTGTCATTTTTATGTGTATAAAATCTCTATTAAATGATCAATTACTGTCCTTCAAACTCGATAATAGCGTGTACAAGTTAGGATGATTCTGGATACACGTTTGTTTCCTTTCTGGTTACCATCGTAGTGGAACCACATGTTAATAAGTAGTCACTAGCAAACGGATATCTCGTAACTTTTTCACGCCTGCGCACTGCAAACTTAGATTCTTCATACACAGTAATAAGTAAGCGGAACCTTCGATGTTTTCCCTATGTGTTTGTAGGTATTTTTAAAAGATTCATAAGCTTCGGTTTATAGTCGACAAACTTGTAATGAAATGGACAATTTTGGCTCACAATTTACTATTATGACATTATATTAATACTAAGGCCCTTTCCATTCGCCAATTATTATGCTTTTAATTTTTCCTCGTAAACAAATCTTTATTAACATACATTATTATAGATTCTTTAAATCGGATAATTTAAATAATAGAAAAATTAGAATTCATTTAAAATAAGAATTAACATGTTTTGGAGGTATAGTAAAACAGCAAATAACACACAAACTCACTAATCGTTAACATTGCCATTATAGACATTAAAATAAATAATTATACGAGAAAAATTATTATTTAATATTATAAGAATGTATCATAATTTTAGAAATTGTTGATGAACAAGGCTGAATCAAATACCATATCGATAAAATGGCAGATTATTAATTTTCATTCAATTCACGGCTATGCTGTTCACGCTCATTAGCTATTAAGAAACGAGTAGAGATACAAAATAATTATATACAGAAATATCAATGTGAATCAATGTGGTGGAATGAAAAATATAATCGATTTTACAACAACGGTATAATATAAATAAATAAGTAAACACCATAAAGGGCACTCGTACGGTTGGTAGCTTCGAGTACACATTTTGCATTTTGTATAATAGGCGCTAAAGTATCGAGCACTGATCATAAGCTTCACTGCGTAGACGACGCGTCGTCTTATTTGAAATTGGACGTGAAATTATAGGCGCTGGAATATGGAAGAATGGATATGAAAAGTGGGAGAAGTATATAACGTGGCAATAAGTTAAATCCAAACTTACTGGATTTAATTATATGCGTATGATACACGCCACATGTACCATATGAGAGCTAGATAGCCCGGCCATTTATCCCATGTTTATTGGCAGGTTAGTGTGTCGTACATTTATATATAGAAAAATTATTTAAACATTTCTTAATTATAGACATTCTACGTGTGACAATTTTCATAAGCTCATCGGCGTTTATCTTTTAAACATTACCTTTATTCGATTCGATAATCTTCTAATTCAATCTTTATTAAATTGAATCATATAGGAAAGAAACTGTAAATTTTAACATACGCAAACTATTCCGTGTGTATTTTGAATGAATTGAAGGTCATGAGATAGTTCAAAAAGTTGTTTTAAATGTTATTTTACGATTTTGATCCTTGTTGCATGTATACATTACTTGAATACCGTTCGAAAGAATAAATCAATTGAAGGAAATACATTTTCATAAATATTCGTGTTACCTTTACTTATCTCGATTCGGTATCTTCCTTTCATTTTATTGTTATAAATAATACTTTACGTTAAACTTTTAATCATATTTTCAGCATGAAGGTACAATTCTTATTTTGTATCGCAGCTGCGTTGCTGGTTGCAGCTTACGGAGAAGAGGATGATAATGATGGAGCTCGACTTCTAGTAGCCAAACTTATTCACAACAAATATCTGGTGGAAAATATGGATGTTATTGTTAAAGTAAGGAGTGTCAATGATAATTTATCATTTATTTTTTACAATAATCGAATTTAACTAGATAAATTTTTCCGTAATTGACATTGATCTAATTAGAAAAAATATCTTTTTTTTATCAGAAGTTATTAAGCGGAGTTATATAGTTATATTCTAATGATTATGTATATGTTGAAATACAAAAATAAAAATATAAAATATTTGAAACCATTATTCATATCAATGGCTAAACTATGTATCTTTAAAAATTATATACTTATGTGTCCATACAATTCATAAGTATGATATAATGATATAACGATTAATATTAAATTATATAAATATTTATTTTTAGTATACAGTATATAACACCGGTAATGCGGCTGCTCTCGAAGTTGAAATCACTGATAATTCCTTTGATCCAGATAATTTTGCTCATATGAGCGGTGAACTAAATGCACGAATTGATCGTGTTCCACCCAACACTAATGTCACACACACTGTTGTTGTAAGGCCAAGAAAACCTGGATATTTCAATTTTACTTCTGCAGAAGTTCTGTATCGTAGGAAAGAAGATGCTCCAAGGTTACAAGTTGCTGATAGTAGTGAACCTGGTTTAGCATATTTCACATCATATAAGGAATATGATAAAAAATTTTCTTCACACGTTGTAAGTTCAATATCATTTAATTTATAAAATTTATACATGATTATCGACTCATAATTCTTACATACTTTTACATGTAGACTTGAAAAGTTATTTTTAAATTTTAATTATCACTCTAAGTACTTTAATATTATTTATTATTCAAAAAGTCTTAATTTCAAATTTAAATTGTTATTTATAAAATGTGCAAGCACATGAATTAAGTATAATTACTCTTGCATTATTTACAATATTCATTTGATTTTCTTGACAAACGCTTAAATAAATAAGATACTCTGAAAGTAATTCTATTTTTTACATTATTTTAAAACCCAAGTATAATATAAGAATAATATAAGAAACGATTTGAATAAAATATTTTTAAAATATTGCATTTATACAAATTAATTTAAATTTGAATCTAAATTTAATGAAAAAGATATTTTACGACAACTTGCATATTTCGTTAAAAAAAATTTTGTATTATATTTTGTGTAATTTGGAAAGAACTTGTTAAATTTCATTAATAATAGCATGTAAGCATCAATTTTTAATATTATAAAAATCATTTTCAGGTTGATTGGGCTGCATTTGCAGTCATGACTCTACCATCGCTAGCCATTCCATTCGCTCTTTGGTTCTCTAGCAAACGCAAATACGAAAAGTTGTCAAGAAACACAAAAAAACACTGAATCTTTTGTAAATTTATACTCTTAATTAGAACAAAAAAAATTATATTTTACGTGATTGAGAGAGGTGCGACTGTTCGTTATGTACTTTGAATTTTGTAATAAATATTATTTATAAATATTTTGTTTTAAATATTTTATTATAAAAAATTATACTTAACACTTATTCGAAAATTTTCTAACATTATAAAAGATTTATTTACAGACATTGTTAGCTTATCATTCACACAATTATATGTTGAAGCTCTCATCATTCCGATCCACTTCATTAATTTAACGTTTAACGCGAAATAAATGCTTACGTTTTACAGTACTATACGAAAAATAATATAAACAATTTTATTCTTTATAAATAAATTTAGTTATAAATAAAGAAATTAATATGTATAAATGTAAGAAAATTATATCTTATTGTAAAACATAAGTACTTATTTGTTTTTAAATTAAACAAGTTGGGAATGAACGAATCAATAAAAATTGAAAAACCTATTTGCAATGATTTAAAGAAAAATAAATTAAATTACGTATGTTTAACTGAATTGAGATATTTCTTCTGCTGTCTCATCATAATTAAAAAATTCATGAATTAAACAAGTTTTTCAATATCAGATTAATTACATTCCTTTAGTTACCAATTTAATTAATTGATTAAGTCACTTGCGTACAAATTAGAAATGATCGTTAAAAGTATAAAATAAGCAACTTAAGATTATCCATTAATTCGTTATGCCATTTTACTTGTATTAATTGATACTAACCTTTCATTCTAATATTCGCTTTAGTCTTATATTAATTACAATTTATATACCGTGGTCATTCCTTAACAAATATCAAGTACGTCACTGAATAATAAGCAAGCCTTCGTACTTCTTAAATTTAAAGTACAACCCGTAATATTATATAGAAAACGTCAATCTGGCAAAAGTTAGTTAACTACTTAAAGAAATTTTGTATTTTTTAATGACGGCAAATACTTATATATACAACAGAAATTTATAATCAAGTTCTATTTCGTCGCGTATTCGGCGTAAAGAAACCTCGAGGATCACCGTAAACTGGCTCGAAAGCAGAAAATGGCCTAAATGGTGAAACAGGATTTCCAGGACTAGATGAGCCAGATACGTTATTGAATAATGTTGAACAGGGTGTAGCCTTTTTTACTGGTGGTGAACATTTTTCAGCTTTAAATAGTAAACACAAACAAAGTTTATTCAATTTTTTTGAGCATTTGTTAAATATTTTTATATATCAAATCAAATTTACTCACCAAAAACATTTTTATTCTTCACTGACATATCAACATTCGTTATTTTATTTTTCCAGACTATGTAAATACAAACATACATATACAGTTAATATTTTTCTTTTTAATAAAACAACTTAAATTATTATTTAAACTTATTAACTTACAATGGAAGAACGAAATTGAAAGTATAACAAGAGTTCCTAAAGTATATCTATGGAAGTACATATAATCAACCCAATGTATTCCTGAAATTCTTGGAAACTGATTGTATTTCGGCACTCTGATCAAAAGCTAAATAAACAACAAAGTTTGTTATAAACGTTAATATATATTAAACAATTTGTTTAAAAATCTTTGATATTCTTACTGAAATATTTTGCTTAATAAGTTCATTCGTGATGATTATTTTATGACCTTGAACCTCGTCTTCATTTTGTGTTAAACTTAATTTGAATTGCGCTACATTTTTAGAAATAAACTGACGAGCACCAACGCTGACTTCTTCGGGAGCTTCGATCTATAAAGTTAAACTTATTAATTATAAGGAAACGATAAATAAAAAATATATACGGATTGTAAAATTTAATGTAACTATTAGCGAAACAATATTTTGAATATCTTATAAATTAATATTAAATTTTTTTTTTAATTTTAAGGCTAATTAATTGCCCCTACAAGACCTAAATATTTTCTACTCACAATTAATATCACAATCTACTTAAAATAAAGCTTTTACTTACAATAATATGTTTTAAAACATATGGAAGTCCATATATATCGAGATTAGCTGTGGGTATTTCTTGTCCTAATGAACTCAAAAATATTATTTCTCTTGTAGAAATGTACATAGGTGGAAGATAAGGTACTTCAACTGGCATACTCTCGATGTCCCTGCTCAATGCATTTATCCTTAATTTAGTCTCCAATGTACTGGAAATTATAGATGGCAGTCCCATTGGTATAATATCACAATAATAAAATCCTGTAATAGCATATAAATTTAAAATGCATTAATTTAAATCCAAATATTTATATATTTTGATCAATCAAATTTAATTATTATAATTTTTACTGCGAAAACTATATATATTTAACTTTATAACTTACCCGTTACAATATCAAAACGCTGCTTAGCGTAGAAAAGATCCTTTATGCTTATAACCGAGTGTAATGGTGAAAGCTGAATAGTACAAACGAATGGAGGATGACTCAAGGAGAACGACGATAATGTTCTACAACCAGTAAGACCTCTTGAAATAACGTTATTTTCTTTAACCATTTCATGCTTGCCTTTTAGAATCAAGGGTATACTGAAAACCTCTGTGCCAGTAACATTTTTACCCTTTTGTGGTATAAGCGTAATTTTGGCAATAGGACTAACAGTAATTTCGACTTCATCGCGTAAATGTGTTGCGATACTATGCTTCACATTAGCAGTTCCAGAACTCCGAGCTTTACCAATACCAATTAAAGGATCCACTTGTAAAACTTCTGGTGCTGATGATTGCCAGAATCCAGGGTCTCCGTCGGGTGATAAAAATGGCATTGAAAAGCAAACAACATCTCCCACAGTAATATGAGTCTGAAAGAAATCAGTAACTTCATTAATAAGAAGCGAATTAACACTCTCTCTCTCGCTCTCTCTCTCTCTCTATATATATATATATATATATATATATATATCAAAAGTGTACAATATTATTCTATAAAAAGTTTAAAGTTTTTTATCCTAATACTATTAATAAAATTGATTCCTTGTGCACATCCATTATATAAACATTATAACATAATAATTTATATTAAATAATTTATAAATATAAATCAGATGTCTATAAATACTATGAGTATTATGAAATAAGTTTATTGTATACCTTAGTTGGAAAAAGAACATCTCCAATAAGCATATGAACATAGTCAAACATTCCATTTGGATATTTTTCATTGTAAATCTTGACAACAAGTTCACCGTTTTCCAAAAACTTGGCGTTTAAAATATTTTTTTCGTTTTCAGTAAACGTTACTAAATCGGTCCGACTCGATAAAGTTCTAAAATCCACATCGGCAGCATGGAATTTAGATCCGATAGAGTCAAAATATTCAAGAACATAATTTAAATCCATGCCTTTTGGTAACATTGTAAGTTCTTCGTCATTTCGAATACGAACATTTGACTTTAAAGACAACATTACATAATGGATTGGTTTGATCTGCAATAAATGAAATTTGCTTCATAATACTCACAATCATACAATTGAAAATATTTAAATTCGTTGATAATTTTAAAATAGAAAAATTAATAAAAATATATTACATAAACTGTGATCATCAATGTTTGCTTTGTACTGTATGCTTCACTGTTGGTAACTGATACAATTCCACTTCCATAATGCTCTCCAGATCTTAAAAGTCCATTTTTGTCAATGGTAATAATACTTGACAAGGATGCCAAAGCATTTGGATCATCGGTATCTCCACCGATTTGTGCATTAATAATTTTGTATGTTGTTAATCCGAATTTATCACGATTTGTTTGGAGTTTCATCGATGAATTTGGGGCCATTAGCAAAACTAAGGATTCCGATGTTGCGCCCTCATTTGTCAATCGCAATTCCTCGAAAATCTCTATTTTCACAGAAGAGCTAAAGCTTGGCTGTATTCGGCATCCACCAGGAACATTGCAAGGCGTCGTCACAATCAAAGAAATCGTCGCTACTCCAGCTTTGTTTGCTTTAGCTCTTAATGTAACTTCATTCTGATATCTATTTTTTAAATAATTATATATATATATATATATATATATATATATATATTTCATTAAAAACAAAATAATTATATTAAAGATAAAAATATTTTACTACTTTATTTCCTTCAAAATTAATTTCTTTCATTAAAATGAGTATCGTAAAGAGTATTTATTGTAAATATGTTACTAACCAATGGTACTCTTAGTACAGAGAAAATTTACACAATTGTTATAGAAAACATTAATTAAAAATCAACAACAATATTATACATATTTAATTGCATGTAATCAATGTATGTAAAAATAAATTTACCTAATATTTATTCCAGTTCGTTCGTACATACTGTGTAGACTCATAATATTAGAATCGCTCATTGACCACGAGAATACCAGAGGAGATTTCATCGAGCCTATTATCAATGGAGTTAAATGATCAGGAATTCCAAAAATCCATACTGGAATTACAGCACCAACTTTTACTTTTAATGTAGGAACAATTACTTTAACTCCTTCTAATAAAATAACTCGCACTTCTGCAGAATCTTGAGAGAAAATTACTTTTTTCCCCATTGAATCCTCTCCAACAGATTTGGCATAAATAGTCGTTTGGCCGGTAGCCTTCCCTTCAATTACCCCGGTGTTTTCAATTTCCAATATTTCATCGTTCTCCGTAGAGAATTCAATTTCTACATTTTTCGGTCCCCCGACGATTGAAATTTGATAAATAGTACCAACGAGCGTAGTGAGATTCTTAGGCAAAACTCGAAGAGGAGGAAATACTTGTATAATAATGGTTTCACTTCGAACTTCGTTAGTGCCTTGTCGGCTACTAAATACAACTTGAGTCTCCCCTTCTTCCAGGCCGTATATTAGTAACAAAACTTTATCGAATGGTGGATTAGCTTGTTCTTTGGTAGGCACACGTTTAACATCGATGAAGCCATTCTCAATCTCAACTTTAATATCCAGCATATCGAGCGCTGGCAGCATCATCAGGAATCCATTTGTATCATAAAGCCGTAGATGAGCCGTAATGTATTTTCCCTTCTCCACTTTATTCACACTCTCGATCTCGAGACTCGCTAATTGCTGCACCTCGATGTCCACCTCCGCGGCCTTCGACGATAAACAGAGATCGAGAAGCGCGACTGTCAGCATTCCCGATTTTCTCGGTACTATACTAATAGTCCGAGTCGGCTCGACGTAGCGCACATCGGCTACCTCTTCGTTACTCAAGACAAGATCGTAATAGCCCGAGCCTTGGTTCACTTGCAGATAGTACTTGCTGTTGGGATCGTTTAAGATTTTCAAACTACCCGGGACTATGACGGTATCGTTAACAAGGAAAATATTAACATTGGCTTCGATCGACGGAGTTGCTATAATCCCATTCTCGCTTTCAATTGGAAATGGAGGATATTCGGGCGTGATTCTGAATCTAGAAAAAAGAAATCAAACGTAAAAATATAATTGTAATTTCAGTAATTTATTTCACCATGTTTTTTTTTTTTTTTTTTTTTTTTTTTTTTTTTTTTTACTAAAAATATGAAAAATTCAAATTAAATTTCCAAGCATTTTTACAATCTTATAATGATGCGAATAAATATAAAAGGATAATATTTTCAAACTGTTGTTAATCTTTAAATTTTACTTATAATAATTGAGTAATTACCTTGAGAGAATGTTTTTCTGATATCCTGTTATTTTGGCTTTTAAAATTAGCGAATCAGTATATTTTTTTGGTGTGATCTGTTGATAATGATGCTTAGGTAATAAAACCTGGTACTCGTAATGGCTTTCTTCTAAACTGCCAATTGAAACATCAATAATTGCATTTCCAAAGGGTTTTATGCTCCAATCAATGTTTAAACTTGTTATATTATCGAAACGTCGTCCTTCCTCGTCTTTTACAATAACGATTAATCGTAATGTCTCTTCACTATGTGTAACGATGCGTTCAGTATTCTGATTTATGGGGCAATTCTTTCCATCTCGAAATTCTGGCTGCAGATAAATAAAACGAGGTCTTCCGCAGATAACTTTCACATTGGCAACAGCTTCACCTACTTTACATGATGGAAGTATGGGCGTATTATAAACACTAAAGGTCAAATAGCTTTCGCCAAGTGCTTTACATAAAACTTTGAATATAGAAATTTCGGCTTCGTAAGACGATTCTTGCTCTACAACTTCCAGAATACTTTCATCGCTTATACTAACTTCTCTCTGATAATCCCGCTTTATTTCGGACCAAGCCTGAGGTCCGCCTTTGAAAATAATGTTTCGCGATGAACCCACGGATAAAACTGTTTCAGCTTTTACTGGATGAACCACAATAAGAGGCTCGTAAGCTGACACAGTAATATTATCGGTTAAATTTCTACCATAAGTAACCGAAACTTTGGAGACGCCGATAATTTGACTAACGATACTAATTGTCGCACATGCAATACTAACAGGTTCAACAGCTTCGCTTTCAATTGCAATGAAATTACCATCTGGAATGTCAACTTCAAAGAATAAATCTTGACAATCATTGAATGGAATTAATCGAAATTCAGACCCATCGTATGACTCTCCAAATAAAGCAATATGAAGATGAATTACTTCACCTACAGCTGCCTCCATATTATATTGTATTATTTCTAATTTTTTTGGCTCCAAGACGTGAAGTTTCGCAGTATCACGATTATTCCCATTTTGAAATAAAGATACAGTGATGTCAGCAGTTCCTTTTTGCAATATTTTTAAGGCTCCACTTTGAGAAACACTAACGATCGAAGGCTGACGGCTGTTCCAAACATATGATCCATCGCCACCGCTTGCTTTAAGAGCTACATCGTATCTATCAACAACATTAACTGTTTTAAATATCCTTTTTATATTAATTTTAGAAAAAATCATAATTTCTATAAATTTATTAAATAAACCAAAATATGAATTTACCTCGTTTTTACTTTAGGATCCCATGGTAAAGCTAACATTCGTGGATGAATAGTTACCGCAGATTGAATTGTAAGCTCTGTGTTACTAGTGAGTTTTGGATAAATCGGAATTCTCTCGCCTTTCTGATTAATCACACCATGTAAAGTTGCTTCCACTTCAGTTGTTCCTGTTGCTGTTGGTACAACTACAACATGAGTTCCATTCCGAGTTGTGAATTTTGTATCAAAATATTTATCATTTATTTTCGTAGTCATTTCGACACCTTCACCTATATAAAATTTGTAATCATCCCTAAAAAGATAAAATATTTATAATTTGTGACAAAGCAATTTGTATTGTTAAATATAAATTATTATAATATTTATCAAAATACCTATCAAACATTTCAACAATAATCTCGTGTGTAAAACCAAGAATAAGAAACCGATTTCTATGTGGCAAAACAGAAATTGAAATTGATGCCACTTCCTTTACATTAACGGTTGCAGTAGGCAAAATAACTCCATATTCTTCGTGAACATTTTTGTCATGTAAAAGAACTTTTGATTTTCCATCCATCAAAGCATAAGCATTAGCCTTTGCATTATTAATTTCCAAAATTTCAGGATTTTCAGCTTCTAAGTAATATTGGCTCAATGGAATATTTATTTCTTCAAGCCTGCCTTGGTGAACCTATATAATTGCATGTACATTTTATAAATACTTTAAAACATAAAAATATAAACCGCATGAAAAAATAGGTAAACATAAGATCTATTTACAATAAAAAAAAAAAAAGCATTAAAACAAGAAAAATACTAATATAAATATTTAACAGCTTCACCTGAACTACTCTGTACTTAAAACTGTCAAATGACATCATTGTAACATCTGATGGTATAATAATAAGATTTGCAACAACAATAAGCTCTACTTCCACTGGAGGTACATGTCTATATTCTGGGTATAAAATTTTCACAGCTACTTTTGCAGTACCAGTTTTTATTCCCTCCAACAAAATGATATTTCCAGTTTTACCAATAGCATCCAGCATTTCAATAGAAGATGGTGTTTCATAAGGAGATTCTTGGAAAGTAATAAAACGTAACACATTATTTGGAAAACTATTGGATTGTACACCTTTCTTATCAATGTTCCTTATTTCCCAACTAAATTCAATGCCAGATAAAGTAGTAAATTCGTTTCCTTGCTCATCGTAAGCCCTCACTTCAAAAGCTTCTGGAGCTTCTTCAATAAATAGTTCTCTTGTCGTAGTAACTATGTTTAAGGAAAATATCGCATCCACTATAACATCGCATCTTAAAAAATTACCAGTCACTACATCTTCAGCTAAAACAATAGCAGTTTTTCTAGTAGGGTCTCTAGTAACCGTTTGAACTACAACTTCTATAGAGCATGTATTATCGTAATCTTCATTTATAGGTATTAAACGTATAATGTCTGGTCGTGAAGTAGACCTATTTGAAAAAGAATAATAATGAAATATTAATGCTGGTTGGTTAATAACTAAAATAACTCATGTAATTAATTCAAGCTTCTTTTCAATCATTTATTCTTAAATAATTGGACTCACAACACCGAGGTTATGTTGTGCCGGAAATAATTATAAATTATATATTGAATAAAAAAAATTTCAAATAAGCAGTACTATAAATAGCTACGTGATATAAATTAAATATACATATATGTGAGTTTTTACAAAATCAATTCAATAATTTTAAAAAATCTCACCATTGATAGCAACCACCATGAGTAACTTCAAGAGTGAAATTGACAGGATTATCATTGAAAACCGGTAACAAAACGCGGGGTACATTAAGCCGATCAGCCACCACAAAAGGAAACACAAAAACTAAGACGCATAATGCCGTAATACAAAATATTTTCAATAATTTTTGCAATCCCGCCATAATATAGCCGACCACGTGTATTTTTTGCAAAACGGCGGCTTGTCCGTTATCGTTCTTTTCGTTCCCAATTCTAATAATATTTTAGTGCACTAATCTTGTAGTCGGTTCGTGTTCCAAAACTGATAAATCCACAAATTTAAAGTGACGATAAAAATATATGTAAATACAACTATTGTTATGGGTTTGTATGGGCCATAATTTTATTCTAATTTTTTCAACTATATATCATTATTGTTTAATTACTAAATAAATAAATAAATAAATATTGATTAACTACGTGATTTAGTAATAATAATTAATATTGCGGCAACGTTTGAAAATAATTTTAAATATTATTGAATTGGCAGCCATTGATGCAATTTGCACGACAATTGGCAGACCGCAGATACCTAAATTATCTCTTGACGATCCAGTCGTCTAATGAAATAATAAAAAAGTTAGAATTTATCTATTAGTATCAACTTGATAGTTTGCAGTGATATGTAGATTATTGAATTTTATTAATCAGCTGTTATATACTTTGATTACCTACTTTAAGAGATTTGTCAAACTGTGAAATTTTATAAATTTCAGTATTTCTAAAACTGCACAACATTTAAGTTTCCCTCTGAAACATTCATATAAATAATGAATATTAAAAATTGTTGAAAATTCAACTTGACCATTGTATAAATATTAACGTCATAATAATATATTATACAAAGATTAAATATAACTTGATTATTAAACGTAAATAAATGATCTAGGAGTTTAAGATAAATAATCGAATGATAAAGAGTGTTTGAAAATCTTGGAGTAATGAGTCTAGATAGTATGAGAGTTGGAGGAGGACGTTGTTCTCCCTTTCTCACTGGAGTTTATGTTATGGCCTTGATAATGTTGGCTTATCATTATTGGAGTTTATTTTCGTATAACTCTGAACTTCTCAGACAAGTAGATGAATTAAATGAACAAATAAAGATAAGGTAATTATAATATTATTATTATTATTTAAATGATTTACTTTTATACAAAAATAATATAAGAAATTAAATTTTTCATTAAATACACAATTTAAAGTAATATTGCATATAATATTAATAATTAGTAATTATAATTATTTTATGGTAGTGTGGAGGAGAGAGATCAGTGTGTAACTCAACGTGGAAATTTCGAAGAACAAGTTAAAGGCTGTCAGGATGATGTAAGAACAGCTCGTGTACAATTATTACAAGTTGATGAAAATATATCTTCCTGTACAAAAGAATTAAAATATTATAAACAAGTAGATGCTACTAAAACAGCTACTATAGAATCATTAAAAATGGATAGAAAAGCTATATCGGACCAATTAGAAAGTAAGCAAGAAGCAAACAAAATACTTGAAGAAAAATTAAATAAGGTAATTCTGACATTGCCTTTCAAAATATGTGATACTGTTTTTAATATTTATTTCTACAACAATTAATTTTCTTTTTTTTTTTTTGTAATTAAATACTGTGAATTTCATTTTAGACAAAAGATGAATTACAAAAGATAAAACTTTCAATAAGTGATCAGAAACTACAGGGACCAGTATCTGTTTGTAAGTTTTTATGTTTTATATTAAAACATGATAGTGATAGGTATATTTTACTCTTTATATGATTTTGAAATTTCATGGATTTACCAAACAATGTTTTTTTTAGATAGGTTTTTCATATATGTTATTATAAAATTAATTTATAGTTATGAAAATAAAATTTATAAAGATCTGTAACTATTTTATAATTAAATTTATTCAAAATGAATTAATGATTTACAATTATATTTATAGAACATTTATGTTAATAAAATATTTATTGAATAATTTTTATTAAAACTATTATGTAGAAATTAGTCGAAATTTTAATGATAAATGTAAATAAAATAATTAAATTAACAAATCAGATTGGAAAATTTTATTTTTCAAAATATTAATAAATTAAACATAATTTTTAGTTCAAATTATTGAAAAACCACAGCCAATTAATAAGACAAACGTAAATTCAGTACTGAATGCCCAAGTAAATGCTCCGGTAAATGTAATAAATGTTCAAGGACAAAATATTCCAGAAAAAGATAATAGCAATATAAGAGGTAAATATTATAAAATTAAAATTTTTTTATAAATAATATAAATCTACTGCTATATATATATATATATATATATATATATTCATTATTATATCACTTATGTACTATCAATTATAAATAATATTTTTTGAAAATCTGTTATAAATCTTTTGTTTATTTTATTTTTTCTTTTAGATGACAATGCAGCAGAAGTTAACGATGGAAATAATGCTTTAGAATCAGATTTGAATTTTAATTTCATATCTGATGGGAAATTCCATGAAACCAAAAAATAATAAATTATTGTAGCATAATTACAAAAGATAATTTTTCAATATTTAAGTTACAAAGTTGCGCGAATTATTTTAATTTGAAACTATCGTAAAATTTTATTTGTTATTGAACGAGTCAATTATTTATAATGCACAAAGTGTATTATAAAATAATAGTTTCTATTTCCATTGTTTAAAAATTTATAAGCAATTTAAATTGCTATGATAAAGTATTGTAATGTAAGGAGAGAATGAAAAAGACAATTCATACAGAAGATTTTATTACGTTAAACGTTACATCAAACAAAATCGTTTCTACTGTTTTCATTACATATACTGTCATGTACATTAAGGTAATTATGGTCATTATTTTAAAGAATATATATGAGAGTTTTGTACACAATTTTTTTGCTCCATTTGATGTTGCTAACAAAAAACTAATCTCAAATTCACTCGTAATTCAGCCTAAGTCTAATTGTTGTTCCCATATACGGTCATTATTGCTTACATGAATTACATTTTTCATCTGATTATTAGCTAATTGATTATACAAACAATTGGAATGAGTCATTCAATATATCATATTCATATATGAATTTCAATAATTAAAATTGAAACTCATACAATTTATGCTCTCTAAATTGATTTAATGACATATAATAGAATTATTCTTTGGTTAGTAATTTAATTAAAATGCAAAAGATGCTTTAAAAATTTTATTAAATTCTTTGGTTAAGATAAAACGATAAACTCTATTTTTATACATTAACACTAATATTACGTTTTCTAAACGCCCAATATGAAATAGTTTATATAACAGTTTCGTAAGTAAGTTTAGATTATTTATTTACATATTTTTATATTTAGAACAATTTAATTGAAGAAAAAATATAAAAATACTTGCGATTTATCACGGACTGTATAAATTTATGATATATTTGTATTTTATATAATATAACATTTGATTTAACGTATGTTCGATTTTGTATCATAATTAAGTTTTTTTCGGAAGTTTTTAAATAATCAAATGATTACGCTGATACTCTAACTATAGAATATTTCTTGTATAAAAAAAATGCACTTTTATAAAAAAATGTACTTTCAAATGTAATTATATTGTTACTTTTCTTGTATTTTTTTAAATATGTATTACAACTTAAATTTAATAAATACTGAATAAATGGATATTAAAATTGTAATGGATCGTTTGCTGTGTGCAAGGATCAAAAGGATTTATAAATGTAAAGAACAAAGCACTTTATAAAATAATTTAATTTCTAAATATTTTCTCTCTCTCTCTCTCTCTCTTTTTGTGCCAATTTTCATGTTACTTCGTCTAAAAATACTAAATTGTACAAATTGAAAGCAAATCCTATTCACAAATCAATTTAATCCATTTAAACTTGCGAAAATTTAGAGGATATTTATTATGATAATAAATCTATACTTGTATTACTCTGTTTCAATCACGTGATAAAGTGTCTATTATGCACTATTAAAATCACGAAAGAAACTTGCGCGACGAGATACCTTATGTATAAACTGATTATATATTATTTAATTTGAGACGAATAAATGAGTTTTTGCGTAATATTTGAATGATTGTTTTGGATTATTTTGACGCCAAATCCTTGCGTATAAATACAAAACTACAAAATATTCGTTTAGTAAACATTTAAGGAGTATTTTACTATGATACATGAAAATCTTCATAGAAATATTATGAATTTGAAAATATCTTTCAAAATTTTTAATATTTTAATACTTAAGAACATATAATGTTGCAACAAAAAAATAATATCTCAAAGTAGAAAAATCATTGTCATAAGAAAATGCAACGGTTGACTAGGTCATATTAAGGATCGACTAGATATAATTATTATTGGAACTTATTTTATAAATAAAGTGACTGCGTATAATAAATAATAACTAATGGCTTTAAAAAATATACAGAATTTGTAAAATATAATTTGACATGCATGTGTGTGTGTGTGTGTGTGTGTGTGTGTGCGCGCGCGCGTGTGTGATAAAGGCCGTTTCTTTACTTTTAATATAATAATAAATACCACATTAAGTAGAAATTGAAAATTTTTAATTTTTTTTTATCTGGTAAAAAATACTTTGTTGTAGTTGTAAACTTTTAATAAAATAAATCCTGTTTGATAAATATTTGTATTTTTTCTTCTTTTTTTGAAAGAAAAGTATATTCACTAATTTATTTAACCCTAGAATCAAAGGATTAAATCATTTCTATCATATTTTCTTTATAGTACGTTAGACTAAATAATGTTTAATATATGATAGTCAATTGATTATGTGAAAATGTTTTCATTTATGTGCGGATGAAAATATTTCTGTAAATTAATAAATTACATAGAAAATCTAATATCTCAACCTTAATAAATTTATACTTATAAAAACTTAATTTGGTTATTTTTAATACAGAATAAGGCGCCTGCACCTAAAGGAACTAAAATGATTAAGTTCTCATCTGTTGGAAAGCACACTCGTCTTACAAATTTCGTTGTGTTAACACTATGTATGATTCACAAGTTAGCTGCTTTCTTCAAGGAGAGTAATGCGAATTTCGTCGCGATTTTCTTTTAAAAATGAAGGCGAAAATTGAACGCAATCTCCACCAACGACTATGTTTATGTGAAGTTGAGCGTGATCTCTCTTTCATACGAATTTGTCTTACTAAAGAATAAAATGAATCATCGATAAATTGACGAAGTGCAGCGGATGTCTCATAAAATGGACAGCCAAGTTGGTTGGCTAAAACTTTTCCTTCGTCTGTAGTTACCTATAAGTACATATTTTAAATTAACACTAATCATATATGATATCAAAACAACTACGTAACAACAATTAGAATAATTGGAAAATGAAAAATTTAAATACCAATTTCATGAAATATTAAATAAAATATAAACTATAAATATTCAAAGCAATAATAAAAAATAAGAGAATAAACATTTAAAATATGATTTACAAAGTAATATTATCAGCTATTTTAAAATATAAATTACAATAACAGGCAAGCATATTTCATTGACTAATTTTATTTTTACATATTTTTTCATATTCTGGTATATTGCTTACTTCGCGTAGATGCTGCAAATCAAATTTATTTCCAACGAGTACGAGAGGAATATCTTCACTAGCTCTAACGCGTGATATCAATTTACGATATTCTATAACTTCTTGAAAGCTATGACGATCAGTCACGGAATAACAGATCATAAAACCTTCTCCACAACGCATATACTGATCTCGCATTGCCGTAAATTCTACCTACATTAATTATTGAGCCTGTAAGAGTTTATAAAATAATGTATAAAAAGAAGGCTTTGATTTAATGTACCTGACCAGCCGTATCTAAAATATCAAGTAGCGCAGCTTCACCATCAATGACCGCTTGCTGCTGATAGGAATCCTCTAAAAGTTTTAATTAGTTGAGTGAGCTCACTATTTATTATAAATTAAGAATTGTGTATAATTACAATAAGCAAACGCACCAATTGTTGGATCATGGTCATTCAAAAAGCTATGACTAACAAACTGCAATGTGACAGCTGGAAGAATAGACAAAAACATTTGTTATGAAATTCTACACTTTTGCAAGAATAATGAATAAAAATTTTGTAGGTATTACCTGACTTGCCTACTCCTCCTTCACCAAGAACAACAATTTTATAAACCCTCAGACCACCTCTAGTTGTAGGTTGAAGCGCAACGGGAACATCATTTTTTAAATCAGAACTCTATAAAGAGACATGAGATTTATATACGATTAAATTTATACAATTAAATCATATAATTAAATATAAATTATAAATAAATTAAATACTGCAATAGACCTGTTGTATTAAGCAAAGCTCTGATTTAAATATATTCATTATTTAAATGATAATCAGTGGGCCAAGAGTTAAAGGACAAATTTTTCTTTAAATACTGCATGTATATTATGATAATTTATTAAAAAAGAAAAAAAGTTTACTTATCAAACAAAATTTTATAATAAATATCATTGAACAATTTTTTATTTTACTGATAGACATTTATATTTATATAAATAGATAATAAAAGCAATTTAACTTAATATAGTGATAGAATAAAAAGAAGGTAATTAACAATGAATTAATAATAAAAAAAGAAAATTATAATAAAAAAGTAAATGGCAATTATCAATCGATTTACTTCAATTGAACTCCCAAGTAATATTAATTGCAAAATCCAACGAGCTTGCCCACAATTGATGTCAAATTTATTAATTAACATTCTAAGATGAGGACATTATTACACATAGGATCTGTTTATTAATTGTAGGGGCCTAGAAGACTAAAGAAATTACAAAAAAACGATGAAACTTACCAGATAAGTAGTGCCACGATCCAATATAACGTCCGTCATCTTCCAGCTTGAATCTTTACCATATCTTGCGAGAGCAAGAGCTTGCGAAATAAAGTGTAAGACAGCTTTTAAAGGGCTCGATAATAATTTTTGAAATTAAGCTGCTGTTACTCTTATCTGAGAAATCCATGGATATAAGTTAAGGAATAAGTAAACAATGATTAATCCTGCAAATAAGCAAGCATTTAAAGTTATTGCCGTAATAATTATCGAGTAGTTTTTGTAGTTGAAACAATCGTTCGTTATATATTAGTGGCCAAGAGGGGAATTAATTTTTCAATCACAATTAACATTTATTAAAATATGTTTATATATATATATATATATATATATATATATGCATGTATGTATGCATGTACATCATATTATGTAGGCCATGCGCAAATAGTGCACAAATTTCCATTTGTTGACGTACACTACACGAGAGACACATTCGCTCGTGCGGAAACGAATGTTTAACTTATGTATATCTATATACAAAATTAGAGATATGTGTGCGTGTAAGCGCGCGCGGTCCCGTGAGCATTTGCGTGCAGGCGTATGTTTACACAAGAGCGAAATATATATAGATATAAGTAAAAAAAAAAAAAAAAAAAAAAAAATTAAAATTAACTTCTACCCTATTTTATGAATACTCTGTGTGTACGCGCGCGCGCGCGCGCGTGTGTGCGATCATGCGTGTTAATTCCTCTCCACGTCGAAATCACCTATCTGTATTTATTATTTGACAGCTTAGAGAATTTTTTTGAAAAATAAAAATAAACCATGTGTACGGCGCGGAGTCAGCTAGGAGAGAAAAAGAACACTAGAGATATTTAACTAAACAATAATCATTCGATCGCCACCTCAACAATATCATATATTTATACCTGCTCGTTCCCTTTATTTTGACGCGCATTGAATAATTAGCCTTAGCGTAAAATGACATAAAATTTTCAAGTCTCACAAGTTGTTATTTTTATACTCTAACCTTGAAGTATCTCTACTGCATTAAATGCTCAGCCAGTACGAGGCGGTTTTATTTACGATGGTACAACTACTGCCCAGATCGCCGAGACCATGACCGTCCCCCAATTCAATTATCTGCGCTATCTAACGATTTTCAGATAAGATAACGTGCAGCTGATTATAGCACGAGTTGCATTGGCATTTTTTTAAATTCACGAGATCCGGCAAAGAACCAAGTACGAATTAGAAGAAGAGAATGCAATAATTCAACAAAAAGTAAACAAAGCCGAACCGTCGTTATCTGCGCCGTTATCTTATCCGAGTGAGATAAAGCATCCGTGGTCTCATTGATATTTGTAATTAGGTTTTAATCTCTTTAATTGGCTCCTTCTTTTTTTAACCTTTTTTTTTTTTTTTTTTTTTTTTTTTTTTTTTACTATTGTATACAAAACGTATCGATGATTTCTCTTGTTCTCTCTTGGTTTTAATTATAACTGGGTCAGCCTTTTTATCAGCAACGAGTGCATCGACTCATCGTCTGCTGCTGTCAAAAGACTAATAATCGTGAATTGTAGTCTTGTTGAAGCAATAAACACAGAGTGCAACGAGTCGATGCGGCTAGCGAAATCGATGGTAGTCTACAAGGATGGCAAAGAGTGTGCCTACCGACAGAATTCCTACTGAATGCCTAAGCGGAGAACTAGCTGGTGTTTGGTCAGGATGGATGGGCCTCGGAGATCGAGAAATTGTGAGAGAGGCTTCTGCGAAAGGAACGCACATAGAATTGGCTTACAAGTTTTTGGAGATACGGAGACACTGTCCTAATCAGGAGGCAAAAGTTTATTTTTCCGATGAGGTGGAAATTTGGGTGAGTAGCCTACTGAAGAAGAAACAAGTTCACCGGGCATCTCATATTTTGAAAAATGTGGTAAGTTCAGAATGTTGTAAAGCATAAAATATTATGTCGAGTGAATGAGACGAGTCGCGTTAGTGTTATTAATAAACTAAGCATTTGGATTTCAGGGAAAAATTCCTCTTGATTATATACGAGCAGCTTGTCTGAAATGTAAGGAGCCATCGCTAAGAGACTATATGGCGAAGCATGTAGAGCTGTCGTTTAACGCAGAGGAAAGAAAAGCTTGGGATATCATTAATTTTGTTGCTAAATACGAAGAGCAATTTGAGTATGTTTTACATTTATTTTACTATTATTAATTATTTTTGTTTATTAGACTTATTGAAGTATACTTTTAGCCTCGGAAATGATTTGATCTCTCACAAGTGCCTTGAGGAGATAATAAATTTACCAGAAAGTATTAAAGATGCACTTTATACCGAACTTTATTTTCATCATTATGACCCAAGTATTACTGTCTATTTGAAAAACGACGTAGTTTGGGACTTCTTGTTAATGAATAATAAATTAGATTTAATAAAATTATGGATTGATTTTAACTTTAATAATTCAAAAGATTTTATTCCCAAAAATATAGAACATATAGAGGATCTGCAGAAATTATTTACAAATTTAAAAATAACAGATACAATGATTTCTTCTGTAGAAACATCGAATGCAATGGTTCTCGTTAAACAATTAGTTCTAAATTCTTTAAGCAGGTAATTCAATACTTTACCATAATCATACAATTTAATGAATTTGCCTTTAATCACAGTTTTTTCATTCTAGATACGGTATATTTGCTAATCAAGAACGCAATGATGTCAAAGCAATTTTGTCTAGATTTTTTGAAGAATGTATCCCTGTGTCTGATTTCAATCAAATTCTCTCTCAACCTATGTGTAACGTAGATAAACAAAACTTCTTTTCAAAACTCGATATTGTTGGACTTTCAAGAAATTATTCAGAAGATAGCGAATCTGAAACAATCAATATGAAAAACAAACAACTTTTTGAACATTTAAAAAATATGTGTAATACTACAAACAATGCGAATGATTTTGTAGAAGTTGGAATTGTTGAATCTATTAAATATTTATCTAACGATAGCGTTCAATTTTTAAAAGAAAATCCAATTATAGCTTTCACTTTAATATTTCTACACTATTCTAAGTATAAAAAAATTAACAATGAAATAACATTAAAGGAAATTTTTAACAACAATGCTGGATTAATAATACAAAATTTACCAATACCAAAATGTGTTCTTGATACTGTGATAGTAAACTTACCATATTTAAAAAATGAAATAGATTCGAATATGCCAAAAAATAGTATCACAATGTACGAGCTTCTCGATGGATATAAGAATTTTAATTCTAAGAAATTTTTTAAGTGGAGACATAAAAATGAAGGAATGCCAGATTTTTTAAATGAAAATCTAGTGAATAAATTTGGTCATAAAGAAAAATTAACATACATTAATTATTTAAAAGAAGCACGACCAAATATGGCTGTACATGCACTTCTTTTTCAACAAGAAAAGTTGGTCGCTGGAATATCATCAAAAGTGTAGGTTTTCATTTTAAGATTTTAATTTAATCTTTATAAACAAAGATTTCTAATTTGTTATTTTCATTATAGAAGAAACAATTAAAAACCCAATCTACATGTAAAAATTTAAACTGTACAGTACTTAATGTGTATATATATATATATATATATATATGTGTGTGTGTGTGTGTGTGTGAGTGTGTGTGTGCGCGCGCGCGTGTGTGTGAATAGTTTCATCTAATTCATCTCTCAATAAAATAATTAATTGTTTTTATTATTCTAGAAAATCTCAGGCTTCCCTTTATGCACATATATTTGCATTACAACATTTAAATGAAATAGAAGTAGTTAGCGGTTGCATTTCATTTTTGGAGATACTTGGAGTTAATTCCGAAATATTGAGACTTCATGTTACAGCTGCAGAATTCGTTAAAAAAGAATTGAATACTTCCATAGGTATTATCGTATATATATATATATGTTTGTGTATATATATGTGTGTGTGTGTGTGTGTGTGTGTGTGTGTGTGTATCATAAATTACATTCCATTCTTAAAAGAATTTCTTTATTAATGTTACTTTTAGAGAGTTTATTGAGATCTGTTATTTATAATAATCATCATCACGATCTTCAGTTGGTGTTAAGTTATTTAGAACGTAGCTTTCATTCCTGTTTAAATACTAAAATGATTAAAGATAGTAATGAATTTATTGATGCACTTTGTACGTGGGACGTAATTGTGAGATTTGCCAAAATACACAATGCTTCTCTGCCAATATCTTTACTCAAGTTCTTAGCTTCTATCGATGCTTGGTTTGAATTTGTATTAGTAGGACATATTTTTTCCTATCCCATTCATCAAGTATGATATATAAATATTTTATTTAATATTAACAGATAGGATTTCATAAATAATTAATACATTCATTTTGTAACAGATGCTCCAATGTGTACAAAATTTTGAGAGCATTGCATTAAGGGAGCATTTATTATTATCTTTAAACAATAATCAACTGCTAGATAAGCATTTATTTAATGAAAATGAAAATGTTAAAGACAACGGCATTGAAGAAAACGATAGTTTTCAAGAATTAAAGGACCAAGTTAAAGACGTCGTTAGTACATAGTGGAGATATAATTTATCTAAAGTAAAAGCTTATCAACACAATTGATAAATATTAAAGTATCTACATTTTTCAGGCCGTACGACAATCTGCTTCGCAGCCATTTTCGAACGATAACAAACAAAATTCCACAATTCCAAATTCGTTTACGAATGCTGATAGTTGCATAGACGATTTGTGGATGATTATTTTAAAATGCCATCAAAGTCAAGATCCACCGGGAGCATTACTTAAAGCTTCTAAAACATTCAAGTCTCCAATTCTAACGGTTTTGGCGACCTGTTACGAAGTAGGGATTTTCAATGTTTACAAATTACAAATTCTGTGTAGAATAAAATAATTGGTCTGACACTATATCGTAATTTTAGCCTTCCTCGATTTCTTCTTATTGCTATTCTTGGCTCATTATATCCGTTGAAGATATACATTTTACAAAAGATTATGAAGAATGTTTGGAAAAACAAATTTGGCCAGCTAGTACAGTTTCGAATTTATTTAAAAACATGATTTCGTACGGATTTGTGAAAACTCTTTCTCGAGGGCTACAGATATTTATGCCTGTAATAAAATTTAAAAATTATACATAATCTTATGGAGACGTAGAAAGATCTTCAATTTAATTATTTCCTTTAATATTAAAATTTTTTATTTACTACAATGTAAAGTAATTTATTTATTAACTTAATGGTGATTTCTTGAAAAAGTTTTTAAAATCGAATCATTCACAAAACTCAAAAATTAGAATAAAAAAAAAACAATAATAAATAATACATAAACGATCTTTCTGCATTTTATCGAATAAGAAAAACTAATCAAATTCAAACATTGAACTTTCTAATTTTACAGGATAATCCGTTAAAATTGTTTTTTGAATTTTTATTACAATGTATAGAATATGGAAATTTTAAAGGTTCCGAGCAACATTTAGACGATTTTATAAATGACTGTTTAAATTATAAATGTAATGTAAGTATAAATATATTGAAAATAATAAATATGCCGCCATTTTTAACTAAAAAGAAACACAATCAACTTGAATTCAATGTGCATTATTGTTAAATTAAAAATATGTTATTAAAATGATTCATTTATTAAGAAATAGCCGCGAAAACTATGTTTCAGAGAATGATTAATTGGGAATGTAGTGACGGAACATATTTGGAAAATATTTTTTGGATCCAAACCATAGTTGTAAAATGTATTATTGTAACTCTTGGACAAGCACTACAAAGTACTCTCTTACAATTAGAATTCCTCAATATTTTAATTAAATTGGAATTCCGTAAAAAATTAATAGGTAAATAATCTTTTAAGGCAAGCGAAAATTTCTTAATTTGACATTATTCATTTGTTTCAACGATCTTTTTGTTATTTTATTATCAGTGAATGCGCCAGATTTTGAGGCATTACGGGAATATACAAGAATATTGTCAGAGACGAGTCTTAGCTTGAATTTTTCACGTTTCGATACGACTGTACAAATATACGAATCCGAAATAGAAATTGAAAAATGCGTCAATGAATTAGTTAGATTGGAAGATTATGGAAATGCATTACAACTTTCAAAAGCAGCAAATTTAAAAGTTTCAAAAATTATACTTGCCCAAGTTAGTTATTAGCACAATATTTTAATATATAAAATATTCATTATTATTTTCTACATTTCAATTAAAAAGCTCTTTTTCTTCAAATACTTTACAGTATCAAAGTGAATATAAACAAAATGCAGATAAAGACGGCATAGTTAGTTTTGGCTTCTGGAGTCGCTGTGCTACTGATTTTAAGAAATACGAAGTCCATTACGAAAAGGCTGCGGAATTTTTCGTTGAGCATGCCGAAAAAGTAAAATCTCATAAAGAAAGGTAACGATGCTTCTTCTCTCATAATGCTAAATAATAATAATAATGTTAATTTAAATTTCTTTCAGATACGAAATTCTCAAGCTAGCTTTAGAAATATTAGAAGAGAACTCGAGAGATCGTCAATTATGTGATACTGTGGAAATGGCAATGTGGAAATCATGCATATTAGCTGGACCCGAAAATATAGAAATTAACACCAATGATAAGGTGTATAAAAAATTAAAGACTGAGCTTTTATCTAGCATTAGCGAATTGAAAGTGACATGTTCACTTACAGAGCCTACCGAACAAATTGCCATTGAAGTTTTAATTGGACGTTTGTTGGATGCTGGGAGATTAGATACGGCATTTCGAATCGGGGCAATTTTCAATTGCAAAAATAGGGTGAATATGTTTAATAAAGATTATATATAGTTAATGGGACATAAATTCTTATTTGAGATTCTAATTGATATTTTCAAAAATTGTAGGAATTGCAAGTACTGATGTTGTGTTTAAGTTTAGCCGAAGGTGAAATTTTACCGCAACAATTAACCGATAAGCAACGATCGTTACTTACCGAATCGGAAAAGCCAAGACAAAGAAATACTGCGTTACGAAGTCGAGGACTTCAACAATTGCCATCATTGTCTTCGCGTAAATATCGACGTTTTTATTCATAAAACGCTATTAATCATCAATCAGCTAGTTTTTTTTTTTAAATCTTTTATCAAGACGTTTGATTAATTTTTGTTCTATAAAATAATAAAGTTTTGAGCAAGTCATTTCGAAATATGTCATTCAAAGTAATGAAAAATACATTTACGTAATCCAAAATTCGAGAATTGTTTTCAAAGTTTCTCAAAGTTTTATTATATATAGTGTAACATACCGTCTATTAGCCATTAAATTAAATAAGACATAATTAAAAATTTTTATTATGTTTTATAATATTGTTATTATGTTTACAGTTAGTTTATCTTCATCGAATGCTAATTTAAGTAGCGTATCCGATGCAATAAGTGCATCGATTATCGTGGAACAACAAGAGCAATTAGATTGCTTATCCTTATTAACTAACCTAATAGAAACTCTTAAACATGGTGTTAATATTGGAATCCGAATACTCTTATGTTATCGTTTAGCACTTCAATTGGGAAAAAGCTATCAGGCGCTTCTGACGTTGAAAAATCCCATGCAATTTCTTCAAGAAATAATTAGCAGCTCGTGTGATCGTAAGCTTGAAATAACTCGAGATATAATTACTGCTTATCAAATAGAGAATCAACAGATCGCCTGCTTTTTAGCCGAAGAGATTGTTGCACACATTACACAAATAATTGAAGGTACAGATTTGTGTTCAATTAATTGTTCATTAAATAACGTAAAATTGAATGCCACGGTAATTAATGTTTCTTTAAATTCAACGAGATTAAATGAAATTCTGCATTAAATGATAATTCCAATATGATTATTCTAAGACTGTTTAAAATTAAATGTAATTAAATAATAAAAAAGAAAAAAAAAGAAAAAAAAAGAAGAAGAAAAGAGAAGGGGGAAAAAAAAAAGAGAAATAAAAAAATAGCAATGTGATCTAACGATAAAAGTTATAGTTAATAAATAAAAAAATTATTGTTTTAGCTATTGATAATTAATAATAACGCTGTGCTTAAATTTATTAATACGATTATTATTATCTTCACTGCATATTTAAAGTATAATTATAATAGGAGAGGTTATTCTTATTTCTAGATGGCTTCAATGAGCCAACGACTGCTTGGAATTATAACATAAATTTACAATCCATAATAGAACTTTGCAAGGATTCGTCTCTTCTCGGTTTGAAGCTTCTCGATATGGCACATAAATTGCTCGGTCACTCCCATGGAGAAAACAGAAATCGTACATATATTTACCATTTTCACAATTTATTCCCAATAATAAGTCTTTATTTCTAATGAAAGCCCGTTTTATTTTTAGTCGTTATATTAAAGATTATTGTTGAACTATTGATTAGATCACACGATTGCTTTACTTCATCATGTAATATGGAAGGCATTGCCTCGGTTCTCAGAAAATGTCAACAGCTTGCGAATTCTCTTCAAAACTTGAAACATTGGAGTTTATTGGTTCGTTTAGTGACCGGGGTCGGGCGATTTACGGAAATGAATTATATATTTCAAATACTGAAGGAGCACGATCAATTTGAGTTTTTACTCGGCAGAGGATTGGATAAAGTAAAATTGATAAACAAAATAATAAATAAATAAATAAATAAAATAAATAACAAATAAAAATGCTTGTTAATTATATTTCATGGATTTTATATATCTTGTACGTATTTATACCCTATAAGCATTGTTTTTTTGTTTTTTGTTTTTTTTTTAAATAATAGGTTCCTGGATTAAGGATGGCTCTCTTAGATTTTTTAAAACGCCATTGTCCTGAAAACAAAGATTTATTTAACATCGTAGCATTACATTTTCGACTTTATTATGAGATTGCGCTTATGTGGGAAAACGAAGCAAAAGATATTATAAATGATTTAGTGAGCGACACCAAGAAAGAATGTGGAAGATCATTATCTAATCCACAGGTTGAGCTTAAATTTACTAAGAATGAATCGACGGAGAAGAAATTACAATTGATAATTGCAAATTTCACACATGCAACTCAATATTTCCTTCAGGTAAAAATAATATATAAATTTTCAATTTAAAAATATTAACTCTCCAAAGATTTTATATTTTTTCCAACTCGTATATATACATTTATATTTTATTCTATTAAGCTACTTCTCATATATATATATATAAAGAAATAAATTAATGTATGTCTCAAAATAACGAACTTGCAAGGTGAATTTACGAATTAAATTGCATGCAATTAATATGTATAAATCACTCTTTAGGATATGTTTTCCGTGGGCATATCACATTATTGTTTCGATAGTGTAATTACGATTAAAACTTACATCTTCCGTCAAATTATTTCAACGAGTAACAGAGACGTAATTATAATGTCGCATTTTGACGATCCAGGACAACAAGCTAAATTTAGCGAATCGCTGCTCGCATCAGGCCCAGCTGGTAGCCCTGCAGATCTCCCTTCTGAACGGCTCGAGCGCGAACCAGCAATTCCCGTGCCTCCTGAACTTAAGCAACGACGAGGTCAGCAGGACGATAACCCAGCACCTGAGCTTCTCACAGACACTGGTGCTCGCTCGCGCCTACGAGCACCACATCGACTGGGCGAGCGCCATCTATTCGCACTGCCTCGTTAACGGCGATGCCAAGTACCTCAAGGAGTTCGTCGCCTCCAAGTGGTTCACGCCGTCGGTCGCCATCGACTGCGCCAAGAGGTACAAGCTCGAGAAGAGCGCCACCAAGCCCGCAACTGAGAATATGCGAGCGCTCGTCGCCAAGATCAACGACACCGAGTGCAAGTACGCCCTCGCCCGTCAGCTCGGCTTCAACAACATCGTCGACGAGATGCTCGAGGATCCAGCCGTTGGGACGTATCTCAAGGACACCGTGCTTATGAAGCGATACGTCATCTCGGAATTCATGAGCGAGAGTTTCCTGAGCAAATGATGAGACCGAGCGAGTCTCTTAACATCTTTATTGAAAAGATAGTTGACTCGCGGCACTCCAATCTTCTTTTTATATCGCCTTGTCAAGAATTAATTTTCGTTACTTTCTTTAATCACTTGAAAGTCCAATGAGATTCAATCATTTTATATAATATTGTCGAGGCTGAGACTTATAGTGATACGATGAAACTTCAACGATTGATTTTAATTGTCATTTTGATTGGTAAATTATCCATTCAATTAACATAATGATGTTATTTCCTTTTGTCTTGTAGCTTTACGTAATTTTACACGTGACTTTTTAAACCGTACTTATGCGTAATTAGTCGTGAGACGTATTTGACGCAATGGAATTTTTAATAATTTATATACGTGTGTATATGCATACGATTTATCAGTTAGTGAGTTAATTAAGAGCAACCCACACTTACATACGTACAATTACTTTTATATTCAATTTACATGTGACTGTAATTTTATTTTTTACATTTTAAGCGTGTATTGTTTAAAAAATATAGGAGAACAGTTATTTATTAATATAAACATATTTCAAATTTGGGTCTCTTTTAAATGTAAAACTAGAGTGGGGAATGTAATGTGCGAATGATCGCGTGAATTAAAAAGCACGAAGATCGTTTAGGATTTTATACATTAAGGACTTTATGTAGCTACAGTATTGTTATTATATTAATTTACTATATTTACTTTGTAATATGCAAATTGTTATATAATTGTATAATTAAATAAAATGTACATTATATTATTTTTTAAATAAAAATTGTTCGGATTTTATTAACAAGATTATTTTGTAAATAATGTCGGTTTAACTATATTATATACCTTTATTTCTTTGAAACCACATATTTAGTTCACGGCCAATATTAATATTAATATGCAAATTTTGACGAATGAAAATTAAATAAATACTTTTTTACAAGTATACAAATCATCGAGTCTACGATGCTAAAAATTATTAGTTACTTTTTGCTATTACATATACCTGTTCGGTTGCAAATGACATTGAAAATATTTTAAATGCACGTACAAATAACTGTCGAAAAATTATTAATTCACAATAAAATATCCTTTATAAAATCTTATTTCCCCAAATATCACGATTTTTCATTGTAATTTTAAAATCAATACTCATACTATGAGTAAGCCATATTATTATTGCTTTTAGAAACAAAATAGTAAAAAAAAAAAAAAAAAAAAAAAAGAAAAGAAAAAAAAAGAAAAAAAATAATACAGACATGCGTTTTAATATCATGAGACGATTATCTAATCATTTCGACATTATTTCTTATTTCTCGTGAAATCTAGTTCGCGAGTGCTTATACGAAAGAGACGACATTTGTGTTTCAAGTCATTAAACAATAATAAACTTTTATTATCAAAATGTATTAATAGCTATAATATACTATTCGTTATGCATTCGTATATAAGAAAATCTTTAATTATTTAAGATACAATTTTAAAGTAAATATACTCCTACAATGCATTGTTAATATTATTTATGTAAAAAAATTATATGCAACAGTGAATCTTTATCATTACAATAATTATATAAATAATTTGCATAATTTTTGAATGGAAAGTAACAAAGATTCTATCGTGTTAATTATTACAAAATTATTAAATTTTTAATCGTTCGTTCTTAGCATTTCGAATATCATATATTAAGAAGAATTGTACTCTAAGTTTTATATTTTGAAAGGTAATAACTATATATTAACATTATCATATAAATCGTTAGCTTGTAAATAATTAATGTTTACAATAAATAATTATGTTAATTCTTACAACTCACAATCATTGGTACGATCGTTCGAAATTTCACTGCTCGCATTAATATTTTCATCTCGATTAATGTTTATGGTCAAGTATTTATGTCACCGATAATTGATGCATTATGTAAGATTTTATTGTGTTATTATTTTTCGTTTTCATTTTATCAAAATTTTTTGAATTCTTATTTCATGATATGCATCGTGAATTATTACGAACCGAATAAAAATATTATTTAATACGTATAAAAAGTGGCGCGATTATTATTAGTATCATTATCGGTAATCGTTGCTGTCGTTGTTGTTATTCATCATCGGCATCATCATCATCATCATCATCATCATCATCTTCTTCGACTTCGTGTTCTTATTAATGTTATTATTATTAGTACAAGTAATGTTGTTGTCGTTGGTTGTCGTTGGTTGTCGTTGTTGTCAACGTCGCTGTCGTCGTCGTCGTCGTCGTTATTATTATTATTATGATTTTTCTATCGAATGTGCATTTCCCTCGAAAGTACACAAGTTCTGCATTTTACCGAAGACGGCGACTAAAACGTATATTCAAATTTTCCATTCTTATCTCTTCGATCGGTAAAGCAGATAATAGCATTCGCACTGTCGTATCGAGACATTGCATGATTATTTTAAGGCAGTAGTGTTTATGCGGTTGGTCGGTGCGGTTGTTTTTGTCGGTGACCTTAAGTAGTGATCATATACTTGTGTACTTTAAAATAAATTGTCGGTTTGAACCTTGACTTGTTATTCTTTTGCTTGAATTAAAGTCTTCGCCGTTTATCTAAATGTTGTCGGCGACTTACGTGCCTTGCATATTATTAAAATGCATCGTTTATATAATATACGTGATTTCGTAAAAAATTTGACAAATAATCACTTCGATATCTCTGTCACAGGATTGGGTGGGTGATTTCAAAAAATGCTTAAAAAATTATCGTTTTTCTTTTGTATTATTTTCTTCGTTTTTTTTCTTTCTTTCTTTTTTTTTTTTTATAATTCATGGATTGTTTAATGCTGTTGTAATTCGTGTGAATATTTTGTATTTGTATTGCTGTTATATCATATTTCATTCGCAATGGAACGTTATACTTTTAAGAATGAAAGGCGCGACAATTTTTTCTTCCAACTCTATTGTTTTAACAAAACTCATCAATTATCTTATCAACTTTTAAAGGTTGATAAGTCGATTGACCCTTTTGTCATTCTTTTCTCTTGTTCGTAAATGGTAGCTACGCAATAATTCGAAGAACTTCGAAACGATAGGATTGATTACAAAGGTTAAGTCTTTATTATTTATGTTTTTTTTATTAATTACTTATGACACTTAGTATACCAATACTGAAATTCTATTTTATTTGATGTAGGGTTCTATTTTATAATTTTTTAGAGCGGTATTATATATTTACCTAAGATAAAGCGTTTAATAAAAATATTTTATAATTATTTTATATTTATAAACGAAGCAAATATTTTTAATATGCATAATCAATAAATTAATATTTGTTTTTTTTAGGAATGTACATTTATTGAATTTCATAAAGAGTCATTTAATTTATATGAATTCCATGGAAATTGAGGAAAAAATACATAAAAGATCTCTGCAGGAGACATTGTATCGTATTCCACAAGCGATTTCAAATTTAGTGGAGAGATTCTTTTACAAGTAAGTTAAAATACTTAAAAAAAATTGTGTATGTAAATATATATAAATATACTATACAATAATTAACGAATATATATTATTTTTTTAAGTCTTGGATTTAAAATAGCTCAGCAGCCAAAAACATGGATGACGTGTTGTTCTGTATTAGTAATTTTATGCCTTGGTGGTTTGTTTCGCTTCAGACAGGAAAAAAATCCGTTAAAATTATGGGTACCGGTGGACTCAGATTTCGTTCAGGATACGGAATGGTTGATATCTACATTCAAAGAAGGCCAAAGAATAGAAAATATGATATTCGTTGCAGATGATATATTAGAATCTGAAGCTCTTGTACGTTTAAATGAAATAACAAAACAAATATTTAATGTTCAAACAAATAGTAAACCAAACATCTCTTGGATGGATGTGTGCTTTAAGTATGAGATGTTAACTTTTGCTTTATTTGTACTATTGAATCCTTTGATAATTAATATTTAAGCTCTTCTTTTGTTCAAAGGATTCCTATTATTTCTAATATTGTTGAACCAAAGAGAAAGAAAAGACAATTAAACGACAGTTTTTTCGAAGAGGACTATAAAATGCCAAACCAAGCAGGCTACGATCCGGGAGTGCATTTTCCCACTAAGCTATACTGTAAAATTTTCAATAGCTTTCCAAAAGGCTGTTTATTATTCAGTATTATGGACATTTGGGAGTTTAATTCGACTTTAATTAAATCACAAACGAAAGAACAAATAGTAAATAAATTTAATTCTGTGGATATTAGTCCAACGCTTGGCCATCCTTTGAATTTCAGTCAATTGTTAGGTGGCGTAACAAAAGATGATAAAGGAAGAATAATAAAAGCCAAAGTGGTTAAAACTCAATGGATTGTTCATATTAATTTCACTGAAGTTAATATGGATGAAATGGGTAATGACGCGGGCACCGCTGATTGGGTAAGGTAAGATAATAAAATTTGCGTTTCACATCTCATGCTTTACACTTTGATATTTAATTAAGATCTATTTTATATTTGGTTGTAAACGATATATACATATATATATATATATATATATTTTTTTTTTTTACAGATTTGAATACTTTTACTAATATTGCACCGTCAATAATTGTATGTACTTTGCATTATAATTTCCAATTGGAATGACCAATCTATTTTGTACAGTCGACAAAAAAAGTGTCCGATTGGGAAGCTGTTTTTCTGAAGGAACTCAAGGAAGTATCGAATAATCTAACCGAAAATAAAACAAACACTTACTCAATATATTATGAAGCTGGCCGAAGCTTTGGTGATATAAGTCAAGACAGTATTTTTCATGATGTTGAAAAGCTCATAGCTGGCATTATAATAATGTCAATGTACGTCCAAGTGATACTCTCTAAGTTTAATTGGGTGGAGTGGCGTGTGAGTTAAGCATAATAATTATCAACTACCAAGAGTATTGTATTATTAAAATAATTTGTTTTTTGTTTTTTTTTCCCTTGAAATTTACTTTCGCATTGTTACAGTTTTGGCTGACAAGCGTTGCTCTCCTTTGTATAGGAGGAGCTTTTGCCGTTGCTGTAGGGCTTTGTTCCCTCGCTGGAATTCCATATGGACCGGTGCATACGTCGCTGCCTTTCCTATTGATGGGCTTGGGGGTCGATGATACTTTTGTTATGATGGCGGCTTGGGAGGAAGTAGCATTTCATGAAAAAAATCATAACAAACCGTTACCCGAAAGGGTGGCTTTAGCTCTAAGTCACGCGGGTGCTGCAATATCCGTCACCTCGCTCACCGATGTCGTTGCATTTGTTATTGGTGCTTCTACGGTAGATGATCGATCGTTATATCAGTGTGCAAGCACAATTGTCTTTTTATTAAATTGTCCAATGTAATAAGGTATTTCATATACTTGCAGATTTTACCGTCTTTGCACTCATTTTGTATATACGCTGCTGTTGGAGTCTTTGTAACATTTGTCTTGCAAGTAACGTTTTTCGTGGCTTTTTTCACTTTAGATTGCAAACGCATAGAGATGAAACGAAATGGCGTATTGCCATGTATCGGGCATGAAAATTATCCATGCCCAACTGTAAATACCAAGGAAAGTATTTCATGCAAATTAATCGATCGATTATATACAAATGTGGTGTTCCCATTACCTGGTAAAATAGGAATTTTATGTATTACAATTGTATTTGCAACATTCGGTGGTATTGGCTCGAGTAGACTCGAGCAATGGTTCGATCCAGTTTGGTTTTTACCAAAAGAATCGTATTTAAGCGAGTACCTCGTCGTTAAAGGAAAAGAGTTTCCAAATGTGGGAGACGAGGTTACGGTTTTTATAAGCAACGCAGATTTCGTTCAAGAATTTCCAAACATTTTGAATCTAAGTATGATTTTACAAAATGCATCATTTACAGAAAGTGTGAAAAATTGGCCCTTAGACTTCATTCACTTCGTGGATGCAAATTTCAATATAGGTACTTATTTATTTTGTAACGAACAAATTTATCAGCTTGTAAATAAAATATGTAATATCTCAATAATATCTGAAAATCTTATTCATTCAATTACAACAATACAAATAAATAGCAATAAATTAATATGTATATATATATATATATACATTTGGAGTTAGAGATAGAGAGATAGAGAGAGAGAGAAAGAGAGAGAGAGAGAGAGAGAGAGAGAGAGAGAGAGAGCGTTAAGGACTTTGAAGTAATAATATAAAATCATATGTTAGATAAGTAAAGTAAAAATCACGCAAGTGTACAATGAATGTTGCATTCTCTTGCAGATGCGGAGAACAAAACGCTCACGGAAAATGAATTTACAATGTACCTATCAAAGTTCTTATTCAGTCGTATAGGTGGAAAGTACCAGAGAAACTTTCGATTTAAAGGGAATTTAACGTGCGGTGAGTCGAGCCCGTCAATAATCATAGCCAGTATTGACTTTAAGTTTAAGAAATTCTCATCACCGTACGAATGGATACCCGGGATGGATAACGCGAAGAAAATCGCGTCCGAGGCCGGTATCGACGGCTCCGTCATCGTCTGGAGCGAAATGTTCGCTGCCTGGGTCACGGACAAGGTCATCTCGCAGGAAGTCGTGAGGAATCTTATTTTGGCCTTGATATGCGTTATGGGCATGACCGCGTTTTTGATTGCCGAGCCGCAAACTTGCTTCTGGATATTACTTTGCGTTTTATTGACGCTGCTCGACGTGTGCGGATTTATGTATTACTGGGGGCTCACCATTGACATTGTATCGTGCATAGGTAGGTACGATCAACGTATTAAAATAATTACTGGAAGCGTTGCAATTGGGCTCGATTGCTAATTACCGCAGTCGCTATATTAGTATAATAATATATAATTTGTAAATTGTCAATTGGCGGAAAGTAGGTGGGGTGAGTTAGTTTTTTTTTTTTTTTTTTTTTTTTTTAAGTACCGACACGAAGACCCCGCTTCTTATGAATTTACGAGCATCCCTCCTCCCTCCCTGTCCTCTTAGCCCCGTTTTATCGGTGTGCGGTGTTAAAAATTCCTTCTTTATCAGCGATTGGGGATGATCGCTGAAATTAGTCTAGAGCCGCAATTGGGAGGATCTTTAAGCGCAAAGCCTTAATCAAGCGTAAGGATGTAAGGCCGAAGGGTGAAATTGATGAAACTGACGTGACGGGAACTCACTCTTTATTAGGGCTCGAATTGGCAGTTGGTTTGAGCGTGGACTATGCGGCCCACGTGGCGCACGGCTTCCTCAATGCTGTCGAGACTCCGGGTGCGAGGGGACCAGACGAGCGGAGCCTCCGGGTCCTCAAGGCTATGCGCCATATCGGCGCGGCGGTACTCTTCGGGGCGGGATCGACGCTCCTCGCCCTCTCGCTCCTCTCCTTCTCGCGGGCCTACGTGTTTCGGGCCTTCTTCAAGATCTTCTTGCTGGTCATTGTTTTTGGACTTTGGCACGGACTCCTCCTGCTGCCCGTCGTCCTCAGCACAATTGGACCTCGCAGTCTACGCTCCAACTTTAAAAATGTGAGTTCAGTAAACTTTGTCCTTAAGGACACCCGTCCTTTTCGTCTGCTCCTCCTCACTCCTTGCTCAATACGCTATTAATATTAATCGCATCATTGGCGAACGATACTAGTACTTAGAATCTTTCCCAAATGCTTTCAGGCCATTTATTTGACGAACTTACGTACGTTCTTGAATAAATTTTGCCAGAAGAATAACTTAAAAATGTTAGCTTAACATTGGATAATTAAAAAAAAAATTAGTAGCTTTCGAGGAATAAAATTTAGTGACAATGTGTGGCTCTTTATATGTTCTGTAATACGTATTTTCCGGTTTTCATTGCTTACATAAGTAACTTAAATTTCGCCGCAAGCTTATCATCATATCAATTATCAAATAAATCTTTTATTAATATCGAGTAAACGTTGTGCTAAAACTACTCACCATGTATTTTAATACGATGATTAATTGCACATCGTCGTACTTCACGAGGGCACTTCGTATCTCTATATTTTCTATTTTTGTTTTCCAAATCATATGATTATAGGTAAGATAATTTAAGCATAATTGATAATCATGATCATAATAGCCATCAACCATGATAACAATTAATTCGACAGTATTGATGGCAATATGAAAAACATTAAAGATTTACGCAAGTAAATGTTGAAATCCACGTTTGACGAATTATCATTGCAAAGACTATCGATAATAATACGTCAATTGATTTTCTCATTATCAAGTTAATTGAAAATGGATTAAATTCTCTTTTCCAATTGGATTAAAAATACGAGAATTAGGAATACTTTTAAATAAAACTAAACTTTAGCTATCTTCGAATTGGATTTGATCTCTTTCCGAATGTTTCTCTAATATTAAAAGTGTTTGCTGTAATTTTTCCTGATTTAATTATAGACTTCTAGACACGCGAATACATCATTTGTAATGAAATTGCCAATACCTTAATAAACTTCATAAATCTCTATAATCTTCGGTATACTGGATGCAGAGTTTTTGTAATTTTTTGTACTAACTACCATTCGATAAAATATGCATTATACCGAAGCGGAAGATTTTATAAAGCTCAGTGTTCTCCCGTTTGATACCTAAATAATTGAAATACCACCCTCTAAAGTACAGGCCACAGTACATAAAAAAAGAAAAAAAAATATATATAACAATTAAGCGCTAATACCCTCAAGTTTGATTAAAAAGATCGGAGAAAAATATTTAGTTGCGCATACAGTGTTCGGTTTAAGGATACACACGCTCGATCAAGCAATCAGTCCGAAGTCGTATCATCCGTTCTGCCAATTTTCTTTAGTGCCCTGGCGACGTACGGAGTGCTCGAGACTGAAGATCTCGAAGAAACCAATTATTCGATCGAACATGTCTACGCGATTGCGACCCGATTATCTGAACTACATGTGATGTGATTAATCAAACACTGGACGTTTTTTCCACTTTTTTTTTTTTTTTTTTTTTTTTTTTTTTTTTACCACATATTCGTGGATTTTCTTTGGGAACGATTGTATTATTTAATTATATTATTTATTAGGTGCACTCTTAAAGCCTGGATCTCTTCACTCGAAGACTTAAGAGCTATTTTGGAGAATAAACGTTCTCGACAGATGTTTGCTTACTACAGTTTTAAAATACTTTTAAAATCTTTAAACTCGCGCGTGTTTGAACTTGTAATGATTTATGGTAATCTATTTCGCGTCACGGCACTTTATGATAATAAATCGGGCAAAATGTGACACCACACGCGTAGTTCAGTGCTCGAGACCTTTTTTAGTGAAAATTTCCATTTGCATTACAATTAATTAATGCGCAATTTTGAATAACAAATATCGACGTGTGCTTTAACAACTTTAATTATTTACAAATTATTCAAATGAAGCTTCACCTACCCATTATGTCATAAAACATAGAGTTTAATAGCACAAAGCTATCAATTTATAATCTAAAGTATCTCTACACCAATGCAACTGACGTACTTACGTAAAGAATGAAATAAAATATTGGACAATATTATTATTATTATTATTATTATTATTATTATTATTATTATAAAGCACGGTATATAATGTAAATGGTGTTTAATTTTATGTATTATATAAATGAAATTATTTAAGAATTTTCGTCTGATATATCATGAATACTGATTAATGTAAGCAAAAAGTCGTTAAATCTTATGAAATAAATTAGGAAAAGCCAAGAGACTTCTAAAATGTAATATGTTACGAAGCACTTACGACTTCGTAAGTATTTAATCACGAACTTCCGAAGGGAAAATTTATAGGAAGGCTGGACCATTTGTTTTTTTTTTTTTCGAAAACTCGCACAATTCATAAGGGCTCGAATATAAATTACGCGAAAGCTCTCCGTCTCATTCGTTTCCATTTAATCAATCAATTTCAAAATATATACACACTTACACTCTCTTGTCGTAATGCTAATTTTTTGATCGACTAACAAATGCTTTTGAGAAGTATGAAAAACGACATAAGAATTTAATATTAATTCCTGTCAAATTCCATTCAATAAGTAAACACAAAAATTGCAATTCCACTTTTCAGATACGATCAAGGAATAATGATTTGATAGAAGAAACCGAAGCCGCAACAGTGCCATTAAATAAAGAATAAAATTATTCGTCAATCAGATTTTATTATAGCATAGAATTATTATAATATCACTAGTTAAGGTCCTTTTATGCAGAAATAATATATAGCTACGTTAAATTATATACAAAGTAAAAATAAAGAAAAAACTAAATTAATTAATGATGATGCCATTATGCCACGAAAAAGAAATAGTCGAAGAAAAGGAAAACATTACATAAAAAGAGTATTAAATTTTTATGAAATATAAAATTGTGTGTTGTTATTAATCGTTCAGTCTTTCTAAATCGTTTTACCTTTATGTGAAATTAAGCATTGATATTGTTTTAAAATATTACTTATAAAAATAAGCATTCAACAATAATTATGATAATTATAATGATAATATTTGTGGTACTAGTGGTAGTAGCAGTAGTAGTAGTAGTAGTAGTAGTAGTAGTAGTAGTAGTAGTAGTAGTAGTAATAGCAGTAGTAGTACTAGTATTAGTAGTAGCGAAGTAGAAAATTGAAATAAAAAAGTATTGTTAATGCCGTAAATGATGATCTTCGTGAAGGGAACTAATGGACTCTGCTGATCACTGAGACATAATCTAGGAAACAAAGCCTCTTATACATCAAAAACAACAGAAAGCAGTCTTTCAGCCAGAAATACGTGGAGTAAGGGTGAATTAGATATGTCTTGGGTACATCGACCAGAGTTCGATGAAAAGCATTGCTCTCAATATAATTAATAAGCGCAATTAGTCCCCTTCCGTCCTGTTAGTCTACCAAAGCGAGGACTTCAAACTAGAAATTTTAACGAAATTACTCGAATATTTCAGTAAATAGTTCGTTATAAGTAATTTAATATTACGTAAAGCTCTTATGTTCATTGTTTAATTGTATTTGCCATGAATTTGTCTAAATTAATTTTAAAAGTAATCACCATTAAAAGCAATAGAATTGGCATTGGCGCAATAAAAGAAAAGCTTAAAAAACCATTGAGATGGCTAAAAATGCTTAAAGCATTTCAACTTCATTATAAAATATTTGAAATTTTCATTTCGCTGACAAAGCTTTGGTAATTGTTTGATAATAAAGTAGTCAATCGTTATTTACAAAGGAAAGCGGTGTAGTTTGAAACTCAAATAAAGTGCAGCTAGTTTGAAAACTCGCAGTGCTCGTGTTTAATTGATTTTTAAAGTTCATTATATAACCTGGCAATAATGAATGATTAACAATGAGTCTATACACTATGTAATCACATGATGTATGACAATTAATATTGTATTATAGAGTTGATCGATTTGCAATGATTCGCGAAAGACTAAATAATTTAATTCAATTGCTTTTAATTTTCTTATTTGCTCGATTAATCAATTTTTAAGCCAAAGCCAATTAATTCTCCTAATATGATCAACTGTGTGAGTTATGAGCGTGTAACATTATATTGTAAAAATGTTCAGAAATATCAAATATTATTGTTTCTTGTTTTAAAGTAATTTTTAATAAAAAAAAAAAAAAAAAAAAAAAAAAAAAACGAGGATAATTTGAATATAACGTGACAGCAATAAATACTTCAGCTTTATTTCTTGAATTTCTCATGCAAGAACTTTACATACAAGTACTACGAAATATTATATTTTTTTAACTTTGCTGCTTTTATTAAATTAATTTAAAATGTTTTCGCAGTCTTTCTGTAAAACTGAAATAATAAGGCTTGTAAAAATAACAAAATTCACACACACACACACACACCCACCCATATATGCGCGTGTGTGAAAAATGCAGCCAACGTTTAAATTAGAGTTTTAGTTGTGTACAACTCTTGCTTCTATCGATTAGCCGAGTTAACAAGGAATTTCTAGTGTGCAGATAGAGCGCAATGAAACTCAAAAGTTGATGGACTTCTCATCACGTACGAAATCGTTCTTTGTAAAGTAGTGAAATATAAAGTTGGAAACGCGTTTCAGAGTTTCTCGACAAAATTTTACACGGACATTATTCATGTAACTTTACATATTATACCACAAATAAATGAAAGCACTAAAAGTTATAATAATATAAAATTATTTTTTTATGATATATTATCTATTTTGTTCAATGCATATTTTACATTATTGTTAACTCTTTTGAAAAAGCAGTTGTTTTAAGATTTACTTTAAAGAACTCATTATAAAATAAAATATCCTTTTGCAACACGAAACTTTAACGAATATCAATTCCGCTCGTATTCATGTAAGATATATCCTTGACATGAATAGATGAAAAAAATTGGCCCAATAGATATATTTTACATACATATATTTTAGATATATAGAGTTTATTCTAATAAGTCTAAATAAAATATTTGTGTACGCAAATATCAAAGCTGACACGATTTTATAACGAAAAAATATAGATATTTCTTTAATATTATTATAACATAATGTTAAAATTAAGTAAAATCAGACAAAATTTTTCCATTTTTTTTTCCATCTCGCATGTACGTAATATATGGGTAGAAAAGATCGTTTTAATAAAGGAAACAAAGTACGATTAATGGATTAATATGTAAGCAGAGAAAAATAGTGCATGGCAAATGCTGTAATAATAACGCAAGTGAATCTAAATTAAAATGTCCGTAATTGCTCGCATGTACTTAGCTCTTATGTACTCATCAGAATCAATTACATTGATCGACGCAAGACTTCTTTACGACATTGTCGACCTCGATTTCCTTAGTTCAATGGTCAATGGTTCGATGATTTGGGGCCCCGCATTTATTATTCTACGACATAGAATTTTCTATCGTTACTTAATTAGTTAATTTTATCATTAGTTAATTTATGTTATATTAAGGGACAATAACATGGACATAATGACGATAACTTATATTATTTGCATATATTGGAAAGAAAGCGAATCAATAAATTTATAAAAAAAAAAAAAAAAAAAAAAAAAAAAAAAAATATGAAATTGGTAACGTTGAGTCCCGTTATTATTCGTTATAAATCCCAGTAAACTTTATATTTATCCTCAGTTGTGAGCTTTATAACTTTCACCGAGCGTAATCTAATTGTCAAATACGTACATTAATCAAATGTTCAATATAATAGAAAACGTATAAAAAATTGCATAACCAAGAAACAAAATAATTGTATAAAATGTTTATAAAATTATTAAGAAAGTGCAAATTAATGGCTATTCAAAAATTAGCCTACATTCGCATAAAAATAAAATTATTCCACGCACATAAATATTATTATATAGTTTTTTTTTTTTTTTTTTTTACAACACCAGTTGATTGACTATATGCATATAGAATACAGAACGAAAATAATTCCCAACACATATCAATGATTATGTAACACACCATAGCGTCACTTTTGAGATTGCAAATAAAAGAATTAAATTATAATTAATTAGTCAATCTTCATGAATGAAGATAATGAATATAAGACTATAGCTAAACAGTATTGACAGTCTCTCGCAAATTGTCAAATTATAGGGAATTACTTCAATTACGTTATTCGAAGTTTGCGATACCCTCGCTGCTGCTGCTGCTGCTGCTGCTGCTTATATTGCTCGTTTAATTGTTTCGGCCAAGCTTAACTTTTACAGGGTTCGGATTAAGGACCGCAGCCTCAACTCGATGATTGTCCGCCGTCGTTGCTGAATTTCTAGTGATCGTAGCCCGCGAGGACATCATTGGGAACTTATACAATTGCCACGCGGATTGTTATTGGTCGTCATTGAAATTACCTGCGCCCGACGCAATACGAGGGTGTGACGCGTCACTTGTAATCGCTTCAAGTGCCGTCATCGTGTCCGTCGTGGAATTTAAATCATTGCTCTTGGTTTATTTATAGCTACAACGGCCAGATAATTAAATACTTGAGAAAATTGCGCTTAGTTATTCATCACAGGCAGACCTTATAACGTAAAAGAATTAATTTCCGAGTTTTATGTGAAAGATAGTTATCACTGATTCGCGTAAATCTGCAAAAGCTTAAAATTAATGAAGACCAATGATAGTTACATGATTAAGGTAAATAATACTGAAGGATGATAAATAATTGGACATTTTATTGTTCCCAAGTGTAAAAAAAATTTATCTACAGTTAATTATTTGAACAATTTTATTTTCCTCATTAGTTTATGGTATGCTAATTGTATAGAGTTGAGATTATAATTTCCTCCCCGTATGTTAATGAAAATATTCAGACAGAATGAAGAGACGAAGAGACGAGAATTATTCGCTTAATCACTCGAAGCTTTATTTACCAATTCTTAATCGTATTCGAAAAAATTTCGTTACTTTCATTACTTAACGAGAGGGAAATTCCAATCATAAGTAACGGCAAAGATACGAATAATTTGAAATGTCCATGGATAAAAAGATAATGTAAGTTGAAAATTTTGTTCGACAAGGAAATCGAGGGTAATGAATTTAATTTACCATTTTCTATTACTGTAGAATTAGACTAGTAATTCAGCATGTGACTTTTAGAATTCATGATGTACATCGAATGACTTGACGTGATACGTGTACTATTATTACCACTTTACACTGCACAAAGTAAATACTGATTTATCTATAAGCAAAAACATGACTACTAGATCATACTATATCACACGTTTCCGGATGAAATCTGTGATAATTAATGACCAGTGGATAATCTAATCGGTAATTAATTTACAAGTATATACATCCATTAATCAATATTATTTTTACCTTTTCTGCATTTGTTTCAAATTCTATGGGAATAAAAATAGTTTACAATACATATTAATGATTTTGTTTTTTCAAACTTCAGCTACCGACGTACCGATGGCGTAAAATTTTTTCTTTAATTTAATTTACTTAATAAAGTTTTTCGATTCAGGAAACAAAATATTAAGTATACTGCTAAAAGTCTACCTTCGATCCATGCATTTCTACAAATCATTTTAATAATTAAATTATATAACATTAAATTATAAATTACATCACAAATACAAGCGAAAATTACTTTCTTTATCTTACAGAGAAAATATTATAAATACTTAGCGATACCGAATTAGTTTCCAATCGAATACGACCAATAGTTATTTGTAACATAACCCC